TATGATGAAGAGGAAGAGGATAATCCACCACCAATATCACAGGTTTGTTTCATCAAAACTCATTGTTTTATGAATTTCAATGTACAGTAACTGTTGAGTTTACGACATCTCAAATTCCCCTCAATTTTTTCTTTGCTTGTTACAATACATGTACACTTAATTAATGATTAGATTTAAACTTCTTTGTTCCATTAACAGTTTATTCAAGGATTTCATGTGTTGGACAAAGTTTAAAAAGGGTTTCAGATTCAAAGGAATTCAAACCAGTTAGAACCATTTTAACTTGAAATTTCATTGTACCATCAAGTTTCATTCCCTTTTGTTTTGAACCCACATATCAATTTAAAAATATGAAATTTTCCAAATAGTTAACTGGTTCACCCTCTTTATAAGTTTCCAGACAGTTTAGCTGAAATTTATCTTTTGTATGTCTGACTTTCCTTGAATGTCATTTTTGTCATCATGCTGTTTTGTACTTGGTTTCATCATCAAACCCTTAGTGGGCTAATAAAACTCTCTCGTAAATTGATTTTTATTACTACATCTACTTGTGTCTGGTGTGAAAGTATTAGGAATACATACCTTTAAGTTTCATTTTAGTGCTGGTGAGGTGATGGGTTTTTATATAATAATTTCAGGAAGCCATTAAGGAAAACAGTGTCACCATGAACAAAATGAGAGTTCTCAAGAATAAAATGGAATCACAGAAAAACATGAAGGTAGGGAATTGAACCATCCATTGAGGGTAACCTGCTGTATAAGTGTTAGGAATCCACACAAATAAGTGTCATGATGTGAAAAAATCTTTTCTTATTCACCAACTGAAATACTGATAACAAGCCATACAGGTCTCTTACAACAAGAATAGAATTGAGGAATCTTACATAAACATTAAGTTTTCAGAGAGAGAGATGGTGTGTGTTTGAGGTTAATTCATTTTACTTTACTTTTCTACTAAGCAATGAATAATTTTGTTTTTTTTTTTTATACAAGGAGGAGGCAGATAAGTCAGTGGTATAAACAGAGAAAGTTTTTTAGAACTTTTCTTTAACCAGATGGTCATTTGATTTTTAAGCAATAGAGGATATTAGGAATAGTTTTGTGCCAAGAATTTTTTTGCATAATTGTTTGGTTTTGATTTTATTTCAGCCTAAATATCAACCAGCACCACCACCCACTGAAAAACCTACCAGTGCATCCATTTTCAGTGCAAGGAGAAGGTAAATTCAGTTGTTAGTAATATTCAGACATTTATTTATTAATCCACAGTGTAAGTGATTGTAGAAATTTTTCACTGTTTCTTGTTTGCAATAGAGGTGGCTGTATCTCAGACTTTTAATGTAGAGGATTGTTGGAGAGCAATTGGGATATGACAGGAGATGATAACAAATGGACCTGCGCAAGGAGGAGGGAGGGGAAAGGGGAGAAAAAATTATATTGATTATCTATTTCCCTCCCCTTCCTTCCCAGTTTTTGTAGTATGATAAGCAGCTTTAAAGATATCCTTGAGTGTTTGCCCTGAAAAGGCATTTGTGTCAGAGACCATTGCTTGTTGTCTCTCTTGATAGGATTTATTGACTTTTCTTCCAGGTTGCAATTAACCTCTGCTTCAGCTGCAACAAAGACTCACGAGACAGCATTCCGAGTTGTTGATCATCATTCAGCAAGTAGACATCAACCTAAGGCACCAGCAATTCAAGGTTCACCTTCAAAACAGTCAAGTGCGACAAGCAGGGTGACGCCCAAAGGGCCTTTGCCACCTGTAAATACAAGAAGGAAAACAAGTCAAATTGATGTATCAGACTTTTTAGTACAATCTAGCCAGGATACAAAAATTGTTCCTTCAAGTCGAACTCTTTCAAGGAGTGCAATTAAAGAAGGAAGAAAGACAATATCAGAGATAGTGAAAGACTCTAAAGAAATTAAACCATTGGGAAGTATATCAAAACCTGTGAGTCATCACAAGGAAACAAGGACTTCAAGCCCATCACATGGGGCAACTAGTTTAGATTACGCATCTGGAAGTGCTAGTTTACGACGATCAAGAATTCCTGAGGATTCTTCCAATATTAGGTATCCTTTAGATTTGTCAACAGGAAGTGGTGGATTCAGACGGCTTCGTGGGATGGACAATCGGGTTCCAACTCCTGAAGGAAGAAGATCTGGACTTTTGGTTAGTATGGATCATAGCTTTTTTTACCACTCCTGCTGTAAATCAATTTTTTAGTTTTATCAATTTGATGAGCAAAAGACTACCTTCACTGTTGTAATTACAATTCTATAAAGTAGTACAATGAGGTAGTACAATTAAAAGTTTTTTGAAGGAAGCAGCACAGAAAACATAAGTTAAATGTTATCTGTCAGTATTTCAGAATTTCTCTTGAGAAGTATTTTTTCAAGGCTTTTATTGACTGAGATAATTCATGTGAAAAAGTGAATCTTCTTGCGTCTTGAAATTATCCAACTCAAGGAAACTTGCTTTTAAATCTCCATTCTTGGTAAAGAGTATCAAATCAGAGTAGAGACTGAGATTTTCAGTGGACAAGTACAATAACTGTTACTGATTGTATCCACATTTGCATTTGCAGAATGATTCCCTGTCATATTCATATCGAATTTCTCATGGAAGTGCATCGAATAGTGAGTAATTTATATTATATAAAGTACCACTCTTCAACATTGTAACTTGTTTTATTAAATTTATTATTTGATTACAATATTCAGAATATGCTGAATTGATGGCATTGTCTTTTCTATTTTAGATTCTCCTTCACACTCTCATCATCTTCCTCCTGTAAAAACAAAACCACATCCACCGCCTCAACTGTTACCTGTTAAAAAGAAGACTAGATGTTTTATGTGTGGGAAAAAAACAGGTTTAGCCACGACATACCAATGCAGGTAAGCTTAACTGTGATGTTGGCTGTGTATAATTTTGGATACAATAACTTTAAATCATGCAACACATTAAATGTATTAAGTGTTTCCTGTGTTATTTATTTATTTATTTTTTATTTTTGGTGTAAATTTTTTGATGGTGATCTCTGTGGCTGCTTTTTATTTATAGCACACAGGTTTTCACTAAAAACCAGTTACTATCAATCTTCTGCAGTCTAGGTGGCCTAGACTGCAGAAGTAGTATTATTAGTAGTATAATTATCATCATTATCTTGCTGGTTTTATTATCCTTAAAATATTTGTGATGTGATGCTTAGTCTGTGTTTTTCTTTTGCCACAGATGTGGAAATTCATTTTGTGCAACTCACCGTTATGCAGAAGCTCACAGCTGTACATATGACTACAAAAGTGAAGGAAGAAAAATAATTGAACAGAACAATCCAGTTATAGCAGCACCTAAGCTCCCCAAAATCTGACAGTTTCCTTGGTAGCACTTATGTACAGTTACAAGTCAGATGAATATATTTTGTAAATATGTTTCAGGTCAATTAAAAAATTAATGCCTTGATGGTTTGCATCATAGAGAATTGAAAGTCACTGGGATATTGAAGTTTCCTAATTTTGTTTACCTTTGGTACCATGGCAACTGCTGTTACCATTTACTTTGTCTGAAAAATCTTGGTAGCCTATCCTATATTAATCCTAAGCAGTAAAATTGCTGTGCAATGTATGTTTAGATTTTTGGTTTGTTTCCACTTAGTATCAGTGGTTTGAAATGCAATTTTTTGCAGTCTTTATCATTATTTAAACTTTTATTTGAGGTGGGGCTTTGTTAACATTTTTAATGGTTTGTGGATTTCTATATAGACTTCTTTTATAGTTTTCTTTTTGTCTAATATTAGAGGTCTGTAGTAACTTTAGACATTCTGCTTAGTGGTAGATAAGTATGGTTACATTCTATTCAGGAGTGGTTCATGAAACTTTAAATATAGTAAGATTCCTTTCTCTTTGTCCATAATTCATTGTACATAAATCATTGCAAAGCTAATCCATGGTCACTTGTAAACAAACTGAACTACTTAAAGGAGGAGGTAAAGGAGTGAAATAAAAGAAAAAATGTAATGGTATTGCTGTAGACCTCTGAATTATTTTTGGTCTGTTTGATGTTTGCCTTTTGTTACCCATAGTGTAATTACATGACAGCAATGTCAGGTTACTGTTAGAGTTAAGTGCAATTCAGTTGTTACTGACACTGCTTCTTGCGTCAAGTTTTGTTTCTTTGTTTACTTGCCTATACACCAAAGAGACAAAAAAAATCTGTGACTCTATTACCATTACTCTGTCTGGTCTTTTTAGGGCATGGCACAATTGGTTTTCAAGTCTACACTAATCTCACTTTTTTTCTCTTTTTTGACCAAAGACACTCATTACAGATAGTCACCTGGAAACCTTTAGTACCCACATATTTAATTTTTCCCACATAAAGTGAACAAATAAATATTGATGGATAGTTATTGTCAGACTGAGTGTGATCAATTTTGGCACCTTGGGAAGAATTAAAGGTACTTTAAATTAAAGGAGATGTATGGACCATGTTGTTAGTGCACTGGAGTCAGGATTCATGCCTTAGGTTACCATGTTGTGTATCTGGGTAAATAATTCTCAGAGCTTTTCTCCTCTCAAGATGAAAATCATTTACCTTCCAACTGTTTGGGAAACCTCGTGACAAAATGTAGGGGTAACCCTGTGACAGATTGGTACTCTGTTTATGGGGTAGTCACAACACTCCTTGTCACATCATGCAAATCAAAGAGATGATGTGAAAGGAGTAGCCTTCTGGCTTGAAATCTAATGTTTCCAACTCAAATTGCCTTATCTTCTGAGGTGCACCCCAGTAACCATGACTTTTTAAAATGAAACACTAAACAAAACTTGCAGGAGAAGGGAAAAGATAGCAACTAAGAGACAGTAAACTTGCCTTTCTATCCCATTTTTTTCAGTCATTTTATTATTTAGAAGGTTCAGATGTAAAATAAATTAATTATTAAATATTTCACTTTTTCATTTTTATCCAATGTGACAAAATATCAAACATCCTTTTACATGTCAAAATCTTCATTTCAAATTGTGAAATCATTTTTTGTTGTTGAACTTCTTTTGTTTGTATGTTAATATCACAACATAGCCCAGGAATATACAAAAATTGTCACAGAAAAGGGAAATGGAACACTCAAAACTAGTCACACTATTGCCTTGGATGCCTATATTTCTGTACATCCCAACAGGTTTTCCTTCTTTTTCTTTTCTTTTCCTTCTTTTTTTTTGCTGTTGTTAAAGATCTTGGTCTGCCCTGCGGCTTTGAAGTCTACAATAAGGAAAGAAAATTATATCATATAATTTTAGACTGATTTTTTAATTTAGGTCCCACCATCTGCCTTCAACTGGATGTTGCATTTCTTGCAAATCAAGCATGAAGCTTTGATTCACTAACAAATATAAGGCCACAGAGAGGAGGAAGCTTAGTTATGGTGTCCCTAATACTACACTTCTTGTTAACCTGATTTTAATAACAATAAGCAACTTAGTTGTAATTTATAACTATTTTCATTACTCTTGTAACCTTTCTTACTTATTTAACTTCTTGAAACTCAATCATCTAAAATACTTCCTGAAGTTAAAATGAATTAAAGAAGTATGGGTTTTGTCTTGTCATGAGCAGGGTACAAACAAAAAATACTGAGTCTTCATAAGCACTTGAACCCCAAACAGTCACATTCCATGCTCTGATGCTCTATGACTGAGGTACAGAGAACTCTATTTTGGAGTGTATCAGGCCACATCTATGTTCATGTCATATAATATGAAAATGAATGATTATTAACTTTGGACTGGGGTTAGTCATAGCCAAAGATAAATTTGTAGCATGAACTTTTTAAAATATTATCTGCTCTAGTGCCATGCAACCTGTAAGATACATACTGTATGACAATAATCTGGCAGGTCTGCATGTGTACCACCCTGCTTCTATTGCAGGTTTATTTTCAGTTCATTTCTTTACTATTATTATAAGTAGTTCCATTTCATTGTCAGTAGCAGTTTGTGATAAAATTATTATTTTCAGTGACTAGAAAAAAAATTAGACATAGTATTAATTGTGGAACCTGCCAACAGAGCTTCTTGGAATTTGATAACTGTCTTTCTAAAAGCCCAGTTCCCAGCCAAAATGGCTTATAAAGAAGAATAACACTAGTAAGAATGTGGGCACTTTTTCTAGCTCTCTTCTGTCTGGCTCCATGATTAATCTTCTCTCTCTAACTCATCAATAATGAAACATGAAACAAAACTTACGATGTGGAACTGGACCAAGCACCAGACCAAGGTTTACTTCTAGGACCTGCTGTATGAGGCCTAGGTGTTGTTTGTCTCAGGGCCTCAGAGAGTGGGACTCTTTGAGGAGTTGGTGTATGGGACCTGAAGGACCTTGAATTAGATCTGCTTGAAGATGTCCTGTGTCGTTCACTTCGACTGCACATTGGAACCTGGTAATCTGTTTAATGTCAGTTACCAGTATTTTAAAGTAAGAATTTTAATCCAAAGACATTGAAAATTAATAGATTCAGTGTATATCTATGTTATAGAGATGGTCACCAGCATTTCCAATACACACCTTGACCAGCTTCATCTGGTTGTTCATCATTTGGTCCTGCATACCTACAAAGATTTCATGGTAATAAAAATGGGACTCATCAATTGAAATCACTGATGATATTATTGATAAGTTGCTGTGGAATTATAAAACATGGAATTAAAAAGTTGTGACATTTTCAATTAAGTAATGAATGATGTGCAAATGTAATGTTAGTAATGCACCATTTAAAAAAAAACATACCAAGGATTTTGATAAAGATGAGTATGTCTGTCCTCTGTAGCTTGTCTAAATTCACCATGCTGTCAAATAAATGCAAAGGAGAAAAAAGTTGAAGAGTTAATTTAAACTGATAAATGTATGTGGCAGTGCAGGGAAAGGTTACTGAAAAATGACAGCATACATGTGATCTGAACCTAATTACATAAATGCAAGAAGTACATTTGAATCAGAGAAAGTTTCTGTCATTACCTTGATTTGGTGACCACTCCTCAAATGCCGACGGTCTTTGTAAAACTGAAGACCCCACCCAATTTCTCCAACCTATATTAGTAAATAAAGAAACCCTTTATATACGACAGTAGCCTAATGGGCTAGATAGATAGATAGATATGTGACAATTATTTGCAAGGATTTCATTACTATTACTATACCCTTAATGCATCAATATGCATTTCAGGGTACATTGTCCTTACTCTCATTTGATTTCAAAATTTTAGTTTTTTAATTTAAATACCATTTTTGCCATTCATACTTGTTTCACACCTAAATTAGTTACCTTGGCAGACTTGGGCAGAGGAAAAGCACAGCCCTACAGTGAAATAATATGACAATTATTATTGAATATGATTATTATTTAAATTATAGATCCTTACAACAAATCATCAGCCCCTTTCTAATCAATGTACCTTGAGAAATACCACTCACCCCTGAAAGAAAACATCGAAAAAACACAAACTGACGATATATTCATGCAGTTAAATATTTTCCCAGCCTCCCACAGGGGGCCTTTTGTCCTTCCCACGGAACCCTATGGAATTTACACCATAATGGTTCTCTTCTGTGAGGTACTGTATACTTCCTGAAACAGCAAATAATGATCACAATAATTTTTTTGCTAAATTATTCACCCAAACCACTAAATGAAGGTTGTAACCTTACCTTGGATGGTCTCCATAAATAGTTCAGATCACTAGACCCCTCAGGAGACATTGTTCCAATTCCCACATAAGTATTGGGATCGAGGACTGCTGTATCGTGATCCCTGATGCCATCAGGACCTTTCAAACAAAAAAAGAGAAAGATATCAGCGAGTTCACCATAGAAATAGAACATAATTTGGTCTTAATGATGGAAAAATCTTAAAGATGTATGAACCCAGCCGTGCAATAGAGGTTACCATCAGTCAAAACCTTAAATTTTTTAGAGCTTTGCACACGGGCCCTCGTACAACAAAGAATGGTAAATACAAGAAATCGGTTGCATATACTGCATATAACTTTCTGAAAATGCATCGTAGCATCACTAGACCAACGCAAGTAGAACAGAACCCTGAAGTGCTATTTTTCGAAATAGGAGACCGGTTCCACACGCACATTCCTTCATGAGGTCAATCAGTTTATCTCCACCATCTGCATCTGTGTTTCTCTCTTATCTGTCAAAACTTTAGTCAAAACTTTTACAGTGCTTAACTTTTCGGGCACTCTGAGCTCGACTTAATTCCGCAAAGATAAAGGAAAGTTTGCGCTCGGTAAATAATGTAAACACGTGTGGCAGTAAGAGACATTCCGAAGCTAAAGAATTTATTGAACCATTTCTCCTCAGTTATATCTTTGAAAAGTTTTACCTGTAAAAAGTACCTCTCCACGGCCAATGTATGGGTTGTAGTATTTGTCGGAACCTCTCCAAGACAGGACGCTTGCCTTTTCTACCATTTTGTGATTGTTTCTGAATGTCTGTGGCCTCTAGCTGACCTAGACGCTGTTGCTAAGCAACAAAGTAACCGGGAGTGCAACAGGTCGTCGGGTGTCCCGCTGTCACGCAATCAGTAAACAGATGTAATCATCTGTTCATAAGAATTTATTTTCAAGAGTAATTTTTTGCAACTTTCCAGCAATAGCAAGAAAGCTCTCTAGATTCTAGGACGATTTGCTCTTTTGAACTGAACATTGACATTATCTTTACAATTTCAGGACAAAGTTCCTGGACTACGAAATATCTAACCCGTCGCGCGAGTAAGAGGGTCTTGTAAATATTTTCATTAAAGGAGGAATTAGGACTTTGCCCTCTTGAGTCGGGTGAGCAGCTCCCTGAAAGTCACGCATTCATTGTAAAATTTCGTTGGGATTTTCTTAAAGCTACGTAATGCAGAAAGCCAATTGACGCTGAACGTAGCGGTTGGGATTTCGCTGAAATAATGGTAATTAGTATGCTCAATGAAATTAAATGAATGGACAAGCTACTCGTTATGTGTGGTCTCTTAATTTATTTGTTTGTTTTGCCTTTCTTCCTCAAATTCTTTCATTCTTTAGATTAGTACAGTTGGAGACGATTACACCACGTTGCCCCTGCATTTTAGTTTCAAGCTCCCCCAGCTATATCCGCGTTGTCCGCCAACTGTAGCAGAAATAGCAAAGAGTGGGTATTAACTGCATCCGCCGGGAGGTAAGATTTCTAGCTTTATTTTAGTGTATCGTCCACAAAGCGTGATAGGAGAACTGATCCCACACACTATTATTGATTTTGAAAGCGTGAAAGGTGAGAAACGTGTATTTCTAATGAAATCGTCGCGCTCTTGGAATATCACCCATGGCACATGTTGCGCGTGGCCAATCGAAAAGTTTTTCGATGATTCATGCTTAATTCTTCGGTTGAGCGACATAAAAGATTGCTTGCCATTCTCCAAGACTTTGATCTTAGCAAGTGATGTCTTGTCCCATCTGTCGTTTTAATTGTAATTGTCGTGCCCCATGAAATGTAACCTGAAAGCAAAATATTGACGAGAAGACGCCTGCTCTATCCGAGGGAGTTGACGAAACTGACGTTGCAATACTCACCCTACTCTTTCATCATTATTCGACCTTACTTTGAAGATTTGTGATTACAAAAAGTACACTCGTAAATCAGCAATATGAGCGTTTATGATAACCGTGAATGCTAAAATTAAATCTACTTGCCCAACCGGCGATTTCACAGTTACATGTTGTATTGGTATTTCTAATGGCTTACGCGTCAGTAGTCTTATATTATTCACGAATATATGTATGAAAAATGCACGAAATTATTTCAATACCTTTTCAATTTTACTCTTTCAAAATGCAAATTACGATATGGTTGTTACTCAAATCGAACAGTGTGTGGTCTCACCATTAGACACGTTTGCAAAATCTTATCAATCTTTGCTAGCTTCTTTACGATAATTTTATTTCCTTTGACAATTAGTTGTTCACTCAGATGATTATCTTATCCTGGAAATTTCCATGTCTCTTATGGACTACAGCTACGAGTGTTTGATTGTGAACAAGATTTGTGTATTCTCAATCCTTACTTTACTAACTTGTCAATGGTGAAGTATGCAAATTCCTCAAGTAGATGAGAAAGTGCTTATGTGGCATCTCAACCTTTCACTTTTTTTACGGTTAGAATGGCTGTAGGTAAAAGTGGGAACCTAAGATATTCCATGAAAATACTGAATTAATATTAAACATAATTGAGAAATAGTTATGGTAGTATTGTTTTGCATACAATTAAGGGTAGTAGAATATGCAATTAGTTGTGTGTTCTTCAGGATCTTGAACAAAATGTACTCTTTGTGTAAAAGCAAAACAGGATTTTAGTTTATTAATAACTTGATATTAATATGTCATGGTTAATAGTAGTAAATGATAAAACACCTTTTTTATATCTCTTTTTTTCACTTAATTACCTCTGGCTTATGTTGGAGCTGACAAATAGAAACTAGCGGAATAAATTTATAACATCACCTAAAAACTTGCCTTATGTTTTACAATCTGACTGACTGACCCCTTCCCCTTTCCTACATTTTTGTCTAGCAAAGAAGTTAGGGTCAATTTAGTTGAAAGCAGTGAAGTGAAGGCTGGATAGAGATTAATGTGTTTAAACTCTGATTGGCTAGGGCTCAATATTTGGGCAAACTTGACATTAAGTTGTTGTTGCAAACTGTCCTAAGGAACATTTGCTCCCCATGGAGTGGATACAACTTTTTTTCTCAGTGATTGTGTGATCACACACATTAATTCAACCTTATTGGAATTTTTGTGACCAATTTTGAGGGGAAAACACCATAGGGACAAAGACTTCCACTGATTTTTGTGCTGATCACAAAGAGAATTAACAGTTCCACCTGTTCCCTTCTCATGCAATGTTGTAGTGTTTTATCATTCCTCAGAGCTATATGAACAACTACATGTATTTTAAGAAGTTTCACTTTTTTTATCCAACTTCTTTGTAGAAAATGTCTGTTCCACCAAAGTATGATGACCTTGGTAAAGAGTCCAGGGATGTATTTGGAAAGGGATACGGTAAGACAGAGCCAAATGTAAGAGCTGTTGGAAATTGTCAATTGAGTTAGCTTGTCACTTTTGGTAAAACCGGCTTCACAGCATCAATTTGTCAAAATTCTGTTACCATCTGTTTTAGGATTTGGGTCAGTCAAGCTTGACTTAAAGACAAAAACAAAAAACAATGTGGTAAGAAAAATGGACTTGTATGCATGAAGTTAAATTTTAATCTTACTTTAACCCTTCAACTCCCAGACCAAATTTGTAACTCTCCTTACTGTCAATCATACAATTCTTCTAATGCTAGTTCAGAGAATTTAGTATTGGATCAACTAATTATCCCCAAATTAATAGTTTCCCTTATTCTCATCACTTGTCTAGTTGATATTTTAAGGAGTCTTGGTCACTCATGGGAGTTAAAGGGTTAATGAGCATTACCACTAGTATTTGTTTGTGTATGTTACTATCTTTGGAGTGATTATGTTGGTCACCTGACATAATAACTTTGGACTTTGTTCAAGATCATGTTATAGTTAAGTTCTTGTATAACTTATTTTAAATGTAATAATAGTTGTGAAGTGTTTTCTCTACCAGCTGATACACTGTTTTTTCATTATAAGGAATTTGTAACCTCTGGTTCATCTAACAATGACACAGGAAAGGTGTTTGGTAGTTTGGAAACAAAGTACAAATATGCGGATTATGGTAAGCAAACAACTAGAGCACCTAACAGCAGGCCAAGAAAACCTTCATATGACTCTGATAAGATTTAACTAAATTTTTGAAGCTAGTTTAGATGTAACTGGGTTAGAGAAATAGGCTTGAGTCTAACCCATGCTCATTAGTATTACAAGACTTGATCCCTAGGGATGTATTGGAGGTCAATGTGTTTTTAATTTGATATGCTGTAAGCATATGTTCTTACAAGAGGTGTTGAATGTTTTGTGTTCAATAGGTGTTACCTTGGCTGAGAAATGGACAACAGACAATTTCCTGACCTCACAAATCACAGTAGAAGACCAGGTACATTCAGTTTTTAGCACTGATATTCTATGGTGTGTACATTTCTATGATCTTGTGGCTAGATGTGACTCATGGCATATAAGCTCTGCCTACTGATAGTATAAGCAGGTATTTTTCTATTCTCTTTTGTAACAGATAGCCAAAGGACTCAAATTGGAATTTGACACAAGCTTTGCACCCAACACTGGGTGAGTGTAGTACTAAATACTGTTGTCCTTTATGGTGGTTATGAATTGTAAAAACTTTGCATGTGCCCCATTTTTAAAGGGTTAAGCTTCCAACTCAAGGCTAAATGCCTCTCCAGAATCTATCAAACTTCCTCTTGGTAGTAATGGATTTCTATTGAAACACACCAGGCAAATTGGTTAACATTTACCCTGAAGAAGTTTTACTGTACCATGCATTTGACTTTAATCAATGGAAAGGGTCAGCAAGCTTATTGGTTTGTTGTGGTTCAGCAAGTCTGGAGCTTTGTAAGTTCTGATCCAGCTCTAATTTTATTTTCTTCACTGTCATATTCATAATTACAATCTTAACCCTTCAACTCCCATGAGTGACCAAGACAGAATTTTTCCCTACAATATCAATACAACATCAACCAGATAAGTGATGAGAATAAAGACAAATATCAATTTGGAGATAACAAGGTGATCCAATACAAAATTCTCTAAACTAACATTTAAGAATTGTATGGTTGACAGTAAGAAGAATTACAAATTTGATCTGGGAGTCAAAGGGTTAAGCAAAGGACATGAAAATCACTTTGGTTTTTAATAATTATATCAGAACAGGAAAAAGTTTCAACCACACAATCCCAATCTAGTAAGGAAGTTAATCCTTATTTGTATATGGATTTAATATCAACTTACCCTTTTTATTGCTGATTCAATTGCAACCTGATGCATGTTTAGGAAGAAATCTGCCAAGATAAAGAGTGCTTACAAGCAGGATTACTTCCATGGCACTGGTGATGTTGACTTTGATTTTGCTGGTCCAACAGTTCAAGCGTCTGCAGTTGTAGGGTAAGTGTTTCTCCGCAAAGCTCTTTGTAAAAAATTGGCCTTTGGGTCCATAGTTGTTTGGTGTTGAGCTCAAAATATAGTTAGAACCCAAGAAACAATTTGACTGCAGTGCAGTAGAACTATCAAAGCTGCAATGTAAGATTTTTGCAACTTTTTGCAACTTGTTTTGTTATCCAGGAGGTACATATATTTTACTCTTGCATGATGTTTTTGTGATTCCAGATATGAAGGCTGGGTGGCTGGTTATCAGGCTGCTTATGACACTGCCAAGTCTAAACTGATTGGCAACAACTTTTCCTTTGGTTATCGAGGAGGTGACTTCCACATTCACTCCTCTGTGTAAGTAAAGTTCTTTCCTGTTACATGGAATCTTAAAAGGGCAAGACATCCCCAGATTCATCTGATCAGAAAACATCAAAGGCTTGAATGAATCTGACAGGGTTGACCAATTTGCTTTTTTTTTTTAGGAATGATGCCTCTAGATTTACTGGATCAATTTATCACAAGGTAAGGTATCTTGGGTTTACCAAATGGCATCTTAACAACACAATTTTCTTAAATGAGGTTCTTAAGTGAGGGAACTACAACAAGTTTTAAAAGCATAGAAAAGTCAGCTGGAGACAGCTGTATTCCCCCAACCCTCACACGAAAATCTTTTCTTCTGTGTTAGTAGCTCTTCACAAGAAGTTAAGGAGGCTACAAAATCAGTGACATTGATGATGATCACAACAATTTGTTTTCAGCTTAGCAGCAACCTTGATGCTGCAGCAGAGCTCAACTGGGCATCTAGTAGCAGCAGTACTTCATTCCAAGTTGGTTGCAAGTATGATGTAGACAAAGATGCATCTTTTAGGGTAGGTAAACTATTATACTACTGTGCAATGTGGCAGCATTGTTACCAAGGATCATGCCTTAAGTACATATACTCTTCTGACTATGAAAATCCTTTAAAACAGTACCATGGCAGCTTTACATGGTGATACATTGTTATTACTCTTAAGGTTACTTCCCACCTTCAGAGACTGAAAAGGTTGATTTTTCTTTTATTTGACTTACTGAATTCAAACATTCAACCTAATGTTTCCATAAAAAAATTTCTGAAATCTTTAAAAGCACCCCAATATGTAGGAAAATGTATTTTTAAGTAAAAGTTAATAAATCAGAAGGTGTCATAATCTCAGACCTGGGTGAATCCCCAGAGGGAATTTTTGTGGCAACTGCTCATTTTTAGGCTTGTTTTTTCATGTTATTTCTATATTTTGTTTACATCATGCACTTAACAAAATTCACATGTGGAAGCTCTTTGCTTATGAAAAGACCATTGGTCATGGAAGGAAAACATTGGTTAAAAAAAACAACAACAACAAAAAAAAAGAAAAACAGGCCCAAAGAAGAACGACAGTGTACCATTCTGTCACAACACAATAAAAATTACTTTATGAAAGCCACTAGTACTGGCAGAGCTCCATGCTGGCAACCACACAAGGTTTCCTTTTCTTTATGCAAGTACCAGCCTTGATACAAAAATATTAAAAATTTCCCAGAATTGTGGTTTTGAATGCTGCCTGTGAATTAGTTATCTTGCTGCTCAGCACATTTTGCAGTTTTCCCATTTTTGCTGTGGGTTTTGCCTTTGCCTTTGCCTTTGGCAACTTTGCTCATAATTGTGTCCTCCTCTGTAACGCTTCCCTGAGCAATTAAGATTAAAAAAATATATATACATGTCTGCAATGGGTTACTTTTCCTGGGAAATCTTGATCCATTGTCATTGACACCAGGAGGTCGCATTGTCCCATTGGTTTGCTGTTTCAGGAGAGGAGATAATCTCCTGGCATGGCGAGTGAGTGAAGTTGTAGGTTATATAGACTGGAGTGATTTTCATCAAATTTTGCTAAAACATTCCAGGAATAATGACAAATGGAAGTGTGTCAAAAAATGTTGATATTTGAAATATTTGTCCAAATAAGACTGTGCAGTCATTTTGCTGCTGCTGTGGCATCCAATACCCGATAAATTCAATTGAAGAACCTTTGGTTGTTTCACACCTTACCAGCTCCTGACACTTCCTTAATAGAAAAAAGTTTAAATTAGATTTTTATCATAATTTGCAGTTATGAAGCTTTCTTCTGACGTATTGTGAGCTAGGATTTTAGTGAAACGAGCATGCATACAAATTTTTTCCTGAAGGACACCTGTGAAGGTGGGAAGTAACCGTAAGGGGTTAGATCTCGTTTATATGGGAAAACTTTTTTAAAGCAAATTTTTACTCTCTGCTCTTTTCAAAGGCTAAAGTGAACAACAACAGCCAAGTGGGTGTAGCCTACACCCAGCGTCTTCGTGATGGAATCAAGCTCACTCTTTCTTCACTGATTGACACCAAGAATCTCAACCAAGGAGGACACAAAATTGGTCTGGGTCTGGACATGGAAGCTTGAGAAGTTGGCAGTGAACTTTTCTCCTACAATAAAACAACTGCTGAGTGAAGCAGTGTGTACTGAAATTTAGTTTTTTTTTCATTCAGTGTGAGAAAGCTTCTGCTTTACAGAGCGAATGCTTTAAGGGCTAAAATATGTGTAAAGTCAGGCATGCATGCAATTGATTTGTTTTGAATAAACTTCAAAGTAACCTGTTGCTTTCTTATCCCAAGTGTTGTCTTGTGAATTTTTTGATACTGCTAAACTCCTCTCAGGAGATATGATAATTGATTGGTTAAAGCCTTATAGGTAATAACATACAAGAGTAATCAAGATGTTGTGCATTTACGTAGGGTTTAATTTCTCTTCTGTGGTTTTCGTTGTAATTATTTGGTCTTTTGTTTGTGTGTTTATCCCAAAACTAAAAGAGGAAGTGTTGTTGGTTCCTCTCAGGGATATGGGGCCTTCCAGGCTCACTTGAGCGTAACAATGGTGAATGATGTTGAAGCTGACATTTGTGGAGACATGGGTTATCTTTGTATTACAGTTGAATAATTTTCCAGTTAAATGTGACTTTTGGTGGTCCCTCCGGAAGGAAATGAAAGGAGTATTTTCTAAGAAATTGCATCAGATATAATCTCGCCTCAAAGAAATGTCACATCCTACATCATTCGAGGAGTAGAGAGCTAGAAATATCTTAAAGCTATGGTCTTTTATGTGTTGAAAAAAATGCCTTGAAAAGGAAGTGAACAGTTTATTCAAGTGTTCTATCCAGTCTTCGACGTCTTGAATGTATTCAATGTTATCTTTGGACTCTTGGCCAATTTCCAGGTTATCATGACATCTAGCCAATGTTTACGTAGATCATCGAACTCTACTCGCTAGAGAGACGAGTGTCTGATTCTTTTGGATGAGTTAGTGGACAATCTAAATAAGTATCTACGTTAGAACGATACCGTTTCATCTGACTTTATCCCGTCCATATTGGGCATTGTCGTTTCACGTTGTTACAGAATTGTCTGTAATACATGGTACGTGAATACCCGCCTCCGTCCTGCCCACTTTACGCCTCTCAGGTCACATGATGATCACACGCCAGTGTAACAATACACCGCAAACATTTGATTTTGACTCAGAGTTCATGAAAAGCGAAAGGTAGTCGATGTAACGAGGCCTGTTAACGTTTCAGACAACGTCAAGAATAAATGTGATATAGATATCTTAAACTCACGAAAGAGAAACAGAAAAACTTTATTTGATTTGTCTGGCCGAGGATCCTGGGTCTAGATCAATTGTTCCTGTACTATTGAAGCAAGCCTGCACTTTAAGAGCATTTTGGAGAAAGTTTTCTTCCGATCTGAACTACGATGCAACTGATTGAGAGGACAGTGTTTTGCTTTTTGGCTGCATCTTTGTGGACAGGAATTTCAGCCGTCGTCCCTCTTCCAGAAGAAAACATGAACGTGGTAAGGGCGTGTGTTTATGTTGTGGATATGGCGGCCATGAAACTTAGGTCATGTTGCGTAATTTCCTATAGCATAAGGAGAAGGATTTAGGAAAATATTGGAGATCATGACTTGCTGAAGGGAATGCTACGATGAGATATCTTTAACTTTGACGATAAGATATCGCGCTTTCCCGCAGTGAACCTAAAGGGCTGATCTTTTTGTCTCTTCAATATAGCACATGCAAAGTACCCACAATTTTAAATTTCAGAGTAAAGCAACTAGCAAAGAATGTGAAATTGAGATAACTTTGAAACGACTTGCAAATGGCTTCGAAGAACTTCTTCCATTCGCGCCTCTAAAAAAACAAATAGTTGAAGATGTAGACGCAATGGCGTCCGTGATTGCTGATGGTTGCTTTAATTTGGTTTGAACTGTCATCAGCTCTTTCCTTTACTTTTCAACGTTTACGAACTCGGCCAATTGGTACTGACGAAAGTATAGGAGAATTTCGAGGCACGTAACCTATAAATCACTTTTCCAGAGCGTTTGTAGTTTTAAATCAAATATTAATTTCCGGGAATGAGAAGAAATTTTGGGCAGACCTTGATCTGTGTGTCTTGTGCATAACAAATGTTGTTGTTGTTTTTTTATCCTATAGACTCAAATGATAATTTACAATGGCTACCCTGCCGAAGAGTATAACTTTACAACCCCTGACGGCTACATCATAACCATTCAAAGAATTCCCCACGGGAGACAGGAAACTTATGCCTCTGAAGATGCCAAACCGGTTATTTTGGTGCAGCATGGACTTCTGGATGCTTCTTCCACTTGGATATCAAATTTACCCAATGAAAGCTTCGGTTTCATACTTGCTGATAAAGGATTTGATGTGTGGCTCGGAAATGTCCGTGGTAATACATATGGTAGACATCATGTCAATCTTTCTGTGGATTCTGATGCTTTTTGGGATTTTAGGTAAGATGTTCTTCCTGATATGATGTGTGATGTGTTTGAACTTGTAGGATTTATATTCAGGGTAAACTGTAAGTTTCCTGAATTGAAATTTGTGGATGACATGTTGTTTTAGACCTTAAAAGTCGTCATATCTGAGCCTAGGACTGAAATGTTATGACAAATAGCATTAATCCATGGCCAGTGTGAAGGAATGAGAAACAAAACAGTGGTACTTATTTGCAAATTTAATATACCGACACACTGAAAACATTCTGTGAAAAAAAAATTAATTAATCAATTTAAAAAAACCCAGCAAATTATTTCAACTTGTAGAGAATCAGGAAATAATCAATAATTTTAGTCCAGAGCTAAAAAGAGACCAGCCTTTGGACATGATTTATTTCCTTCATTTCCTAAGGAAGCACAGGAAGTAATTGGGTGAAATAGGTTGATATGGAAATTAAAGGTCAAGCAAAGGTACCAAATTTAGTGTGTTAAGAATTAAGTTTCAGGCTAGCTAGATAGAGACACGGAAGAATTAGGATGGTATTAGTAGTGTCACCTTTAGTTAGTGTTTCACCTCAGTGTGTTCACCTTACTGTATTAACCCCTAATGCATTTTCTCAAATCCATTTTTCTTGCACTTTGCAGCTTTGATGAAATGGCCAAGTATGAACTCCCCTCTGCAGTCAACTTCATCCTCAACAAAACCGGGCAGACAACTCTGTATTATGCTGGTCATTCACAAGGAAGCCTCATGGCTTTTGCAGAGTTATCAAGAAACCATGATTTGGCTAAGAAAATAAAGGCTGTGTTTGCACTCGGACCTGTTGCTTATTTAGGTCATATGAAGAGTCCTCTTAAACTTTTGGCTGATTATGTTCCAGAACTTGAGGTATGTAGTTTAAATTCAATCTAACTGGAATTAAGTTATGGGTCTGACATCTGAATGTCCCTCAATTTCTTGAAACTGTCAGACAATTTTCTGAGTACTTGATTTTTTCAAACTTCCTTCGAAAACCAAGCAACATTCTAAGGAAGTTTCATGCAATCAACTCTGTAAAAAGCATATAATCATGTTCTTTATTATAACATAATCATAATGGTTATATTGTTTTATGTTATTTGCAGGATCTTTTTATGATATTTGGAGTCCGTGACTTTCTCCCTTCCAATGATTTTGTACACTGGATGGCAACAAATGTTTGTGAGCCACCTGAGCTGCGGCTGATTTGTTCAAGTGTGATCTTTCTCTTATGTGGCTTTGATGTACCACAGTTGAATTTGGTAAAATATAACCAGTAGTCTGTTTTTATCTTAAATCTGTGAAGCATGTTTCTGCTACACACTAAGAGGTAAAAGAAGGATTAAGCTTGGACATAAGTCAACTACTAGATTATGTCCCAGTTTCTGTAGTTTATAGTAATTTTGCTATTCCTCCCTAGATGTACTTTCAAGGTAACTTTTGGGCATTTTTTACATTACCTTAATATCTGTTAAATTTACCTATACCCATTTCAACAATTAAGTGGAGAGGACCTGTGAAAGTCAATTGTCTTACCTAACAACATAACATAATTACCTCTACTGTGGTCTGAACTGGCATCTTCAGTTCTAGAGTCCAGATTGCTAATTTATGGGCTGCCTATCCTAACTATCCACTGTACAGAAGTAATCAATGATCATTTTGACATTCATATTTGTAGACACGCCTTCCGGTTTATGTGTCACACACTCCTGCTGGAACATCTGTCAAGAATTTAGTACATTTCAACCAGGTAGGAAAAACCCTCTTGCCACCATGTATTTGCAAAACCATATTTTATTTTTGATGTGATGCTGATTTTTTTTCTCCTTTTAGCTGTACAAGTCTAGTAAATTCCAAATGTATGACTATGGCAGTCCAGAAAAGAACAAAGAACACTATGGCACTGTAAGTGTAAATATAAATATACATGTACAACAATTGTGGGCCCTAATTTTAACCCTTGCCACCCTAACATCAAATATGTATATTTTCCATACATTTTCCATATATTTTCCATATATTTTGTTAAACAATCAAGAGCTTTAACTTTAGTTGGTGATCATTTCTGATAACGACTCATGGGTGATATTGTAAGGAGAAATTAGATGCAAGTCAAACTCAGGGGCCAAAGTGTTCGTTTGAATCATAAAATTTATCAGATCAATATCAGTATCTGGGCAACTGCCCACTTACCCCTCCCCTAACTCAATAACAGTCAATTGACAACAAGTTAAGGTTAATGTTGGGTAAGGGGAGGGGTAGGTGGGCAGTTGCCCAGATACTGATATTGATCCAGTTTATCCACAGCTTCTATTTGTAAAAAGAAATTTAACCACATGAAACTTTTCCCTAAACAATCATTCATGTATTTTCATAACTGAAGCTTTATGTATCTTGTTTTAGTTTAACCACTGTCTACTTTTTTTAAGGCCACTGTTCCTCAGTACAATGCTTCTGCCATCACTGTGCCAGTAGCACTCTACTATGGAGGAAATGATTGGCTAGCAGATCCCAGTGATGTGAAAATCTTGATGCAGAAGCTTAAAAGCAAGTGGTATGATAAATATATTGCACCATGGCAGCATTTAGACTTCACTTGGGGCCTGGATGCCGCATCTGTGGTATATGATGACATCATCAAGAGAATTAATGAGATTGAATATGGACTTTGACCTCTTTTTGTACCAAAAATGTAATTCAGAGTAACTTTTTTTAAAAAAAAAAGAAAAAAATGAAGCTTTGTCACATTTCAGCAAATGATTTATGATAACTCATACTAGCTTTGCTTTCAAAATTTTAATTTGGTATGTGAGTGAGTGATTTATTAATATTTTGGTTAAGTTCTTTTGGCTGGTTTCTTATTTCTTCGTGATAAATGAAAAAATTAATATTAGATTTTTTGAAGCTTTATAAGAAAGTTTCATCACATTAAAAAAGATTTACAAATTTGTATTACTAATCATTTCTTTATTAGGGGAAGTATTGCATAATGTTGTAAATCCAAATCTCATGAAATGTCTTCATTTAAACTTTGAAGTGTTCTACCACTATATGATAATTATGTTCTATAATTATGTAATTTTTTTCATGAACACAAATTAGAGTGTGAAAACAAGGACATAATTGAGAATTAAGTATCTGAGTTTAGGGAAAATATTTTAGAAGTTGAGGTTGAAGAACTTACCTTCTATTTCCTCATTCTTCTCTAGTTACTGTATTTATAGATCACTTCAGTTGCTTTTATTTTTTATAGATATTATTCTTACAATGCTCAATATGAAAAGGTTCTTATTTTTTCATAAATAGATCATTAAATCCTAAGTTAAGTTTTGCTTAATGCTGTCATGAGTTTCCTTAATGTCTTTACTTTCACAATGAAAATAATACAAAGGGGTGTTCCTTCATTTCACTTTGGTCTTTCAATATGGAGGTAAAGTTATCTTGACTGCTGTCTTGCTTCCTCACTTTTAAAGGCATTGCTCTGTGAGGTTGAACAACTTGACTTAAAAGGTGAGAGCAAGCTTTTAATAATGAACAGGGAGATTATTCTCAATTAACAACCTTGGACAGTTTTCAACCAGACCCAATCAAGACAGCTTAACAACTTGGCTTGATAGAGACTTCTCCACAATCTAAACCCCACTTCAAGGCAAAAAAACAAGTTGTCATTCATCTTATTTGGGGCATGGAATAAAAGGAAAAAAAATTCAAGTTTCCCATGAAGAACCATGAATATTCAGATTTCACCATCCATTACTCCATCTCATATCACAGAGGTCATGGGTTTAAATCCAAATGAAATTTTTTCAGGCCTTATTTCACCACTGCTCAAGTAGTGTTCATTGCTGCAAAGATTGCTTTCATATTCACATCTTTATCTGTAGTTCAAATGTATGACTTTCATATATCTACAGTCGTTTGCTCTACCTCATGTTGCTTGATTGCTACAAAGGCTCACTGGTCAGCTGATAAATATGCTACATTAAATTGTGACAAACATAGGCTTACTGTTGAGGATCACCTAACTTGTGGCTAAGCAAATTAACATAGTAGACTTGATAAATCAAGGTCTACAGTTCGTCTAGAAAAGAAACAGTTATTCTGTAGGTCTATGCCTTGGTATTCATTGTATCTTTGTGTGAACCTCTCCAGCTACGAGCAAGAATCGTAAATCACAATAAGATGCAAAACACCCAGTATACAGTAGCAATCATTATAACAAGTAATATCCAATCATGGCACCAGTTTCTTAAACCCAGTATGCAGTTGCATTATGAAATATTAATACGTCTCTGCATTGTAGGGTTGTGATTGGTCTTTCTAATTCTGTGCACATTTATGTCTCTGCATGACAGGTGTGAGATTGGTCTTTCTATTTCTGTGCACAGTTATGTCTCTGCATGTTAGGTGTGAGATTGGTCTTTCTATTTCTGTGCACATTTAGGTCTCTGCATGATACGTGTGAGATTGGTCTTTCTATTTCTGTGCACAATTATGTCTCTGCTTAGTAGGGTTGTGATTGGTCTATTTCTGTGCACTTATTTTAAGTAGCCATAAGCCCTTGCAGAGATAACAAAAGAAACTCTAAAATTCTGTTTGAGAGTTTAAGCAAGCTACCTGAACAGATTAGCAAGTCCCAACTTCTCCATTGCAAGCAAACTGACGTATATCTACACCCTCTTTAACCCCTAGGAGTAAGCAATCATGTAATTGTCCTTATAACATCACCCCAAGTCACACATTACAATCATGAGATTAAAATGATCACCAACCAAAGAATCTTTTGACTGATAAACAAATTCTTCTTGTCAGCTCCTTAAGAGATGTATAGAGAAAGGTATGGAGAATATGCATATTGATATCAGGGTGTAACAGGTTGAATAATGAGGTGTGTTGTGTGAGTAGGAAATAAAGATACTTCTTGTGTCAAAAGGTAACATTTTTAGGTCAAGTTAACAGTGCAAGATTCAAGAACACATTTTGATACTTAAAGTTCTGAACTTAAATAGGATAATAAACAAACAACACCAAAACTTTACAACTTAACATTAATTTTATTAGAGGGGGGAAAAGACCAAATTACAGTAAAGTTTCAACTGATGGTGTGCATCTCTTTGAATAAAGGGACAAGTTTTATTTAGAGTACAGCTTTTGTTACATGCATTGATATTTGAAAGGAAAACTTTACGATTCCTGACTGAGTAACACGTTAACTGGAAATAAAAATGTTTAGTTTAGCAGCTATAACCTTTTAAAACAAAAAGAAGGTGAAATTGTAATGTTCCATTGGTTTGTGAGAGATCTTCTCTTGACCTTCTCATAAGTATACACGATCATGTTATATATAAAAGCTTTGCAATCATCCTGAGGAAGCAAACGTTGAAAAAAAAGTTTAAGGAAGACCTCCACCACTAGCACACCTTGTTGGTAATTTGACAATTAATTTTAGGCTCCAAAATAGCAAAGCAAGGACAAACTGGTGAATAACATCAGTCTTCCAAAGTCTGAATGTTACGCTCAGCCCATTTTGAATTTTTTGACTCTTCATATCAGCTATATTTATCTTCACTCACCATGAATAGAATAGCCACTGAAATGACAGCAAAAATGACATGTATGTAACATAATCCAAAATGGCATTAAATGGGAAATTCACTATTCAAGATAGTTCTTATTTGTTTTCATATTTTTACAAATGCCAATGCCAATAATTTTAAAAAATCTTCCACCAACATGATGCAGTGGTGGAGATTTTCTTATGCCTGCTTAAAACAAAAAGATTTCTAAGGAATCTTGCAAGGAAGATAACTCTTTAAAGGATAAAAAATTACTATGTACATCACTTTGCTTGTCCTTTTGATAATAACACTCTCCTCTTATCATAAGACAAAAAAAGCACCTGTAGTAATTCAGTACTACAAAACATTTCTTCAAAGCATTATCCCCAGATTTGAACACTACTCAGCTGATTTACATTTCTGCATTGTTTCCATTTTCTTTAAAAAAAGGTCAAAGGAAAATTCAAAAGTTTAGAATTCTGATGCTAACTTGAGATTTTCAATCCTCCATAACTGAATTTCCTATAGCACACAATACTATATCATAAGACTGCCCAACTAAAAAATATGACAAAAAGAATTAAGAAAAATACAGTTGCAGGTACAGAGACCAAGCCCATAAGTAAGGAAGGCTAAACTTGGTTTATTGAGAAATTTAATACAGACTGGAAAAAAAATTATTTTTGCCAGTATTTTTTGAAAACAAAACTCCTTGAAATTATTACATATAAATGAAATTAACTTATGAAATTAAGTATTTGCAACCATCCCATTCTGTTCAGTTTAAAAACATGAATTCAAATTAATTCAATAGTTCATTTGCTCAAAGCACTTGGAATTTCCCACTTCATAATCCAATCTTGGGTTCTTTGAACTCATTTACAAACACTGCTTTTCACTACAACTTGGTTCTATACCTGAAAATCTGCAGTCAATTAATTTTCATCATCTACCTGAGTGGATAGTAAAGTATTGAAATGAAGTCTTTATTACTCTGAGAAAACATGGCAATTGCAGACCAGCATTAGCTCACAGTATGTGTTCCAGTCATGCTTTGAACAACTGAGCTCAACATAAATTTCCTCTCAGAAAAAAATGACATTCAGTTATGGCCTCAAGTGTCACTTTCATTCAGATAACAAAATTAAAAAAAAAAAAACTGATGGCCCCCAATGCCATACAATTGACAAAATTCTTTGCACGTACAAAGATATCCTAGAATACGATGTGTCAAGAATTCTAATTAACCTTTGCCTAATTGGATGCAGAGGCCTGCTTACTGAGTAAAGCTCCTTCAGCAAACTTAGCCAGTACTAAAATATTTTACACAGGACATCATCTATAAACATACAAATTTGCCAAAGTTACAAACAATAAACAGAGAAAAATCTAGCCTGGCCCATTGACTAGATTTGTTTGTGTTTCAACCAACTCCTTTAGGGGTGACCTGAAACAACACAAACAAGTTATTGTTAGTTGACTAATTCTGCCTTAATACATGTGTGTCATGACATTGATTAAGAGGAAGAAATGTCTGCCACTTTACAACTAATAAAAAGAGGGCCTTGAAGTTACGTGAAAACAAGTGCCAAAGAATGTATGATGTGAAAGTCAAGCATTTCTGGCTGAAAATTTTTCCCTTGATTTCTTTTAGAAGTAAGAGGTTAAGTTAACAGTTACAGCAATTTGTAAAATTAATACCTAGAATCCTGATCCAATTTACTTTTCTTTGATAAGCCCTGATGTTCAGTATCCTTAGTACAGTCCACAGGTCCATTGTCCAGTTTGGCACTTGTCATCTGATCATCATGAGCATTATTTACAGCCTACAAAAGATGCATGAAACCACAGGTTATTTTTCCCAAAACTATGATATAATTACAAAATTTATCATTCTCCATTATATACTTTGTGTCACACTAAAATAATTAGGATCCAATAACTACCTCTTGGTAACACAATGAGGAGTATTCATTCCCTGTATAAAGTTGTTATTAGTAACAACATTTGCAAATTATGCTAATAAATTAACTCCTCTACTTGTCATCATAATCACTCACCATAACCTCTTTGTTTGAGGGGACTACTGCCTCAGTTTGCCTGTCTTGTTCTAACCTAGTGGGTGTCAACAGAAAAGAAATTGAGAGATATTAACATAATATGCAAAATATATTTTTGATTTGTGGATGTGCCACTGCTAAGTGGCCTGAATCATGCTTGTTATTTTCCTGTCAATCTGCATTTTCAACTTGACTTCTACACTCCAATAAAACACAAGTTTAACATTACATCCCACATGAACCTTGAATGGCCTACAGATAACTATGTTCATAGTGTTTTATCCCTTTGTCTGTCTTGGTAACATGCTACCTTCCCACAAGTCCATTTTAATGCATCTCAAAGTACACTTTGCATCTTGCCTAGTGTATTGAAAGTAAAGATTAAATTTCCCATTCAAAAAGCTTCAAGTCTGAGTAAGACCATCTGCTATTCCAAGGAAAAACTAATGTGATAATAAAAATTACAAGGTATGTTATTTAGTACCATTGATACCTCAATATTGTTCTTGAAAGAACTCATCCTGTTATATCTGGTTATAAACAAAGTAGCTAAAACTTAACTCCCTTCTAACTCACCTGGAAAATACTTCCTCACATTTCACGCCAGCAGTTTCTTCATCTGAGATGTCATCATCACTATCATTTGTTGCTAGTGGAGCTGAATTGTCAATTGACTGACCCTCACACCTAAACAAAAAATAAAAGTTTGTATATACAACCAGACAATTTTCCTTTTTCCCACAGCAGTAAACCTTCCTTGTAATCATCAGCAGTCACCAGGAAGACAGTCTGCCGACAAGATTAACAACCAAGCAAGGTCGTGGATACCTTCTACTACTGCTCTGCATTTACAATCCAAATATTTTCCAATGGAAGTTAGCCTTAATTCATTTTGTCATGGTTTGCATAGAAAGAAGGGTTTTAAGCACCTGCTGTCTCCCAAAGTCCCTGCTTATTTTGATAGCTGGATACAATCAGATAAAAGTTTGATTACTTCAAGGATTGAAGGATTCAAGTAATTTGGTTTTACACCTGAGTCTTGCTAACCTGTAACGAGCTGCTCTATCCTGAACTGGTGAGGGCTCTGCTTTTCTCGTAGACTCATCACCATCTGCATCTGTTATGACTCCAAGAGCTTCAGCACTGGACACTAGGCCATGTGTTCTACACAAAAATGGAAAAATGCCTGGTTTCAACATGACTGACTGCCAAGAATTTAGTGAGACAGTCATACAGGTACAAACAAAATGACTGGCACAACATATAAGTAAAAAACTACACAAACACCAATTAACTTTGAAAATTTACAGGAAAACAACATGTTTATGAAGATGTTAGAATCTTTGGGGTTATACAGATAATGCATCCTGTTGTTAAAAAGACAAAACGTGCCCATTACATATCCTCAGATCATACCTTAACTCATCTGGCTTGTTTGAAACTGAATCCTCTTTGACTACTACAAGAAAAAATAGGGACAAAAACTAAGTCTTCACTAACAAATCTTCACTGCCAACATCAAAACTGAAATGAAAGTGGACAGGGAACCTGTTCCCTTTTACCTTGATGTGCAACTTAAGAAGCAGACTGTGCTGCGGTATAAATGTTTAAGAGCAGAAAGACCAGCAAGATGTGTATGGACTACTGTTTAGACTGTGTGAAGTGAAAAACAGCACTTACTGTATGCTGCCCCTGCCTGTGCAGGAGCAGGTGGTTCTGTCTCCATTGCAACAGGTGAATCAGCCATTTCCTGTGTTGGTTCACTGATAAGAACACAAATCAATTATTATTTTGTCAAATCTGAAGGAATATTTTGCAAGCCATCAAGTGTGAAAATCCCACAATTTCAATAAATTGACTGGCTAACTGACTTAATGATATAAATTAGTCTTTGTCAAAGGATAGATTGTTATAACATGGTCTGAAGTAACATCTAGGAAGGTCCAAACACAAATTTCCAAAGACATTGAACTGCACCAAATTTGATCACCAATATACCCAATCAACTATAAAATTGCAGTTTTAAGGAATTTCAACAAGGAAATCTGCCACACAATACCTGTATTGTAAGTCAGAAGATCACATCAAACCTGACAAATTGTAACTTAAAACAGTCCACTTTCAGTTAACAATTCACTGCCTCTTTAAGAAGAGGCAGAACAAACCTGCTAGGAGCCATTCTGATATCAGTGAAACTATCAAATGTTGCCCATCCTGTGTCGTCTGTTGTTGCAGCTGGTGTATCACCCCAGCCAACATCAGAAGCATCCATGGATACAGCTTCATCTATGGCTGCCTCTTCACGTTCAAATGTAAGAGACCATGCTAATGGTAAAAAAAAAAGTTCCGTAATCATCTCTGTTTTGCTATTAAACCTAAATCATCTAAAACTAAACCCTGCTGAAGAGAATATTGCATGCTCTTGTTTTTTGTAGTTCTGACTATTCTTTAATCAATTTAAGTGGCCCAGTGGCATAGTCATAGCTTGGTAACATGAGCCATTTCCTTATACCATGTAATGCCTCTATTGGCCCAAAAAACTGCCAAAATGATACTCTGTAACTTTGGATGAACTAGTGTTTAGAAATTTCTTGCTGTTTCATGCTACAGTAGCAAGTGAAAAGCTTCATGAGTCATGGGCAAAAAGTGTTATAAGACCAATGCATCAGTACTCAAACCAAAACCAAATTAAATGACACCAAATTATTTCACAAAATTACATCAACTACAGATATCTTTGCATGAAGAGTCAAGTATCTTCACACAATTTTACTGCCCACAATCACTGATATAAAATGTCCCCACATTACTTGTTTTTAATTCTCTTTACACTAATTGCTTACCATCACTGGGATCTACATCCATTTTATTATCTGTAGCTGCAGGAGGTTGTTTTACTGGTGATCCCTGAGGGCTGCTGCCACTTTCAAAAGGTACATTGGGACCTTTAGGAGCAGGTGACTCTAAATCTTCATCACTATCACTACTCTCACTTTCATTTCCTCCCTCTGGTGACAGGGTACTGCATTAAAATAACAATCAACCTTAGATTTTCAGCAAATAGTAGCTAGTATATAATAAGATCAGAGTTTATATTTCTATAAGTGCATTTACCTATGTCTTGACTCAGCAATGGATGAAAAGGTAAGTTCTTTTTCCTCCCAAACATCCTAAAAGATATAAATAAAAAGTATTATTGGAATCACTTTGGGTCACATAACATAAACAGGAAAAAGATATATCTCAAGGGAACAAGACAAAACACAAAGGAGTTGTAAAGGAATTGCAAATTATACTGTCCTTACCTCTTCATCACTTCCACTGTCATCAAACTGTTGAATTTTTTCATTACAACATGCTTCAAATAATGAAGCATTGGGCTGTAAAGAGTGTCAAAAACACCTTTAAATAACAACTACAGTAGAATACAATGTATGTATGTTTTCAAACAATCCTGTTATTGATTTTTTTACTCTTAAGGCTAATTCGACAAGAAATAATACCTGACTACTTCTGCCTGAATACAATGACTGTAAGCATTTTGTGATCCTATGTTTCGCAAAGCCCTCGTAAATCTTTACCCAGGCTAATACTTCACTAATCAAATTACACTCAGTTAAAAAAAAACCTCTCAGGTCTCAAACCCCAAAGCACTAGAACTCTCCTAAGAAGTATAAACCCATGATAGCCTTGTGAAAACCAAGATCATGACCTCCATATTTAGTTCTATAATTACAAATACTAAATGATGCAAAAAAAGATTAGTTAAAACATTGTACTTTCATATATTTCCCTCGGAGAAAAAAAATGGCATGCAACTCACATTATCTTCCTGAGCATTTACAGTAAAACTAATGTCCCCTATTCTGTCAAATGGTCCCCTGTAAGAGAGCAACAAAACAGCAAAATAAAACAATTATAACTGCTAGAGTACATTACTTTCTGTAAACTAAAAGGAATAAGTTTTCAATACTTACGTGATTGATTCATCTGGTTCTTGGAACTCATCCTCATCCAGACCAAATGTATCCATGAATTCTGTTGTAATCTGCTGCATCTGATATCTTGAAAATGCCTGCAGCAAAAAGTACATATTAACTTTCAACTTTCAAAAATTTACTTCCCAATAGTACACATGCATGTTTAAGTACATTTCTCCCTTAAGGAGGTTCCGTAGGGTTTTTTGACCACATGAGATCTGGGTGCAAACATGGCACAAGCTTTTAAAGTGTCAACATGCAAAACAAACATATACGCTCAATGTGATTGCATGATTGTTATCTAAGATGTGTTAAAAACAGTTTTTATGTGATGGAATCTAGGATATCCAGCAACTGCACCCGAAATATTCATAGGCCTTCTTTGCCTGAAAAAGGTCAACTGAAAAGAAAACACCCTTGGAAAGATTGCCAAAGGGCAACAAATTCAAAGTCTATGCATGCTCAGATACTGATCTTGGCAAAGTTCTATTCCATTATGAAATGTTTGTGAAAAAAAATAGGGATCTTTTGTGTAAGATTTATCCCGTTTCCTATGGTGGAATTTCCAAAGAATTTCTAGGTTAAACACATTTGTGCCCTTCCTAATGCCTGTCAATTAAAAAAAAATAAGACCAAATTTGAAATAGAGGAAAAAACACAAAATTGCAAATAGTGAAGAAACAGCCTTAGTTTGTAACCCCAATTTTTTGGGGCTTTTAAATGATCAGAAGGACAATTTTCACAAATTGTGAAAATTTTGAGAGATTTCACTGAAGCAAATTGAAGAAAATCAAAGACAAAGCCAAATTATCCCTGGTGAGCGCCTCCCTTCGTTGAGCCTTAGCTTAATAAAGAAAATCATTTTGATAATATTTACAGTAAACGATTCCTTGCTCATTGCCTTTTAATGGCTTTTAGTGACCTTAAAAAGCAAAAACAAAAATTTTCTATAAAAATATTACATTGGTGCACATGCCAACATTGAGCAAAAACCCTATGGAGCCTCCTTAAATGTGACTCGCTAATTTTAACAATATTTTAATACAGTGTACTGTGTTTCCTGTATGAGATATGCGAATAGCTTCTTTCAAAAATTGTTCATTATTTCAAATGTCAAACTTTTGATTACAAACTGTTTTCAGCACAAGCTGTGTGACTGTCATTAGCATTCCTACCTGCTGAAGAGAGTGTTCCGTGTGTAAAAAGGACATGGGCTTGAAATCATCGTCATCATCTGAGGAAGACTGAAAATGATGTCCAACCTTGGAGAAACAATATGAAAAAAATGGGAATATTGAGGAAGACTGAACCACACAACTGTTCAGGTAAAATTTCTGTAGAAAGAAGTTCTTTCAAACAATGTTCTTTTAGAAGAAAAATGATACCCATTCATGATGACCACTAAAAATGTCAACTCATAAAAACAAAGAACTTTGTTATGCCAAGAAGTTGGTGGGGAGGGGTAGGAAGGGAGAGGGGGTTGTTAAAATGGACCCAACACAATACAAAAACACACACAGTAAAAATTACCCAATGGTATGCACACAGAACAAGTAAAAAACTTAATGAATGAAAGTTAAAAATAAATGTAATCTCTCACTTTAAGAAACACAACATAACTGACATGGGTTAATAGTGAAAATAGCTTGGCAAGAACTTTGGAGGTCAACAAATTTATGGAAATCACAAAATTGTCCTGATAATAAAGTTTTGAATGCCTCATAATCCTTGAGAGGAAACAACTCACCAATTCTGACATGTTCTGTTTGTTGACATTTGCTAACTTTCCACTCACAAATGCATTCCATTTTTCACGCACTTTTTCAGGCAAGTCTAATTAAATAAGAGGAGTGAAGTACATAAGTTAGGATATCACAGCTAAGTCAACCTAATGTAGTTGTTGATGAATTCTACACAAGGTGTTGAAAATTGTGTGAATGACATACCAGCAAAAATTGTATCAAGAGCAGCTTTGTTTTTCCCTTTCTCTAGACTTTGAACAAGACTGTTTGCCACATTTGTTAAATGACCCATGTATCCTTTCCTTTGGTTGGTCTGACTTCTGTATAAAATAGACAAAGCAATGCACCCATACATGTTTTCTTGTAAACTCAATTTTCATAGAAAAAAAAATTGTGTGAAAGCAAATATTTTGGAATGCAAAATGCAGTTTTGTGAAAAGAAATTTCAATCTAAGCAAACTGAAAATTTGAGTTGAAAATCTAGGGTGATGTTTCCTGATGGATCCATTTAAAGTTTAGGTTATACTAAAACCAATAACTACCAGGTGATGGTCAAAGTGTACATAAAAACAAACAGTCCTTGACACTATATGTAACCTGAAAACTACTGCCTCCAAGAAAGTTTTTCTAATTGGAAGTTGAGCTCATACTTGTCTCAGGAAAGTCAAAGATCACATCCCTGGATTTTAAGGGAGAGATTCCCAAAAATATATTGAAAGAAAGTTATTTGGGTAAAAAAAGTTATTTCAACTTTGTTATTGGAAAGATTGGAATTCACAACTGTCTCTGCGATCAATTGCTTGTCGAAGCATTTGACTTAGGCAAAAGATTGACTTGTTCACCATTCACAAAACATCATGTTTGGCTTAATTAACACCAACAAATAATTGTTCAGTGCCCTTACGTATCTGAATCATGATCCTCCCATTCCTGCAGTATCCTTTGAATAATTTTACAATCTTTAAATAACTGGAAAAACAAAGAGACAAAAATGGCAGTGCTGATGAAACAGAATGTGTTTACTAATAGTACAAAACAAGCTCAAAATGATAAAGTTGTGCTACTGTCACTGAAATTGAAGCACCACTTACAACATCAACTAAAGGAGTACTCTGTTCCCCATCTTCCTCAGTTGGGGGATTGTTTAATACTGTAGTTATACACTTCTCCACTTGAGTGTGGAGGAAATTGTTCCATGAATACTTGAAAAATAACTCCTGCAGAACAAACAAAATACTAACATTGCTGTTAAAAGCCTTAAAAAGAAGTAAACACTAGTATAATCAAGAGACAAAGATGAGTTACTTAAGATATCAATTATGAATGAACTCTATTGGATTACAGAATACATACCCATAAAACTTGTAATGTTCCTAGATTAGCTAGTTCAGCATTAATTGTATCACTATTAGTGGCTAAGATAGCAGCGATCAGCTTGGAGGTCTGAAGTCGAGCATTTCCAAGTGGAGGATCTAATGTTCCAACAGTGGTAAGCATTGGTTTCATCTGACAAAAGAAGAAGCCAACAATGATAGTCATCACATGTTTATGTTGCAGTAGTTGAACAAGAAAAGGCATATACAATAAATCAAAAAGGAGAAAAAGAATGCAGCTTACCGGAGGAGGATCTTCTAGAAGCTGATGAAAATCTTTAAGTCTGGGTGTGAGAGCAGCTAATGTAGCACTGACACCTGAAAAAAAAATCAACAACAGCAAACAGAAGTAAATAAAACATTCCAAGAGATATATCTTTATTATACATTTCTAACCTATCAGTACTTCTTAAATTATCATTTGAAATGCAACTTTTGTCAAGAAAAAAGATCACAAAATTAAGTTAGCTTTGTTCTCTTACCTTGTGCAAGTCTCTCAGCATCCAAAGCAGTCATTGGTTCTTCACCTTCCCCACTGAAATAAGCATCAAAACATGCAAATTTAAAATTATCAAAATTGTTTTGTTTAAAGTACATCTAAAGATAACGTTTCAAATAAAATATGTGGAACAATGCATGATATATATTTTTAATCAAACCTTCCTTTCCTGACTTCCAAGAGTGTGAGTAAAACAGATATTCCATTGACCAGTGCAACATCAGGGTGAAGCTTGGCATCCCGAAGCATGTGATCCAATAACTCTGATACAGTCTCTCTCCTTAATAGAACATATCAAATCAATTAAAAATCACAACAACAAAAAAAGCTTACAAATTGAGAGTTTATTTCTTCAAAATGAAAATGCTAGGTAAGTGGAACAAAGGACTACAGTATCTCTAGAGAACATATCTAGAGAACATTTGGAGAAATAAAAGTTATATTATAATGGCTGACAACTGGCAACCATTTATAACCTGACATCATTATCCATATTCTCAATACTGTTCTCTATACATTTCCTAAGGTGCTGGCAAGGAGAATTTGTTTAACAATCCAGAGCCTCTACAGCTGGTGATCATTTTCTTTGTCCTCATCACCTTAATGTTTGATTCAGGGGTGATATTGTAAGGAAGAAAATAGATGCTAGTCACTCATTGGGATCAAAAGGTTAAAACTGATCAATAATTTCAGGCCCATTGCCCAAACCCGTGTACTCTTCACACCATTTAGGAAGTAACCATAAAAATCAACACACCACCTGAGCATACCTTTGAATTGCATCTAGTAAGGGATCTTGATCAGCATTCTCTTGGAGCTGTGACATGTGATCTCTGCTAAGTCTGATTATATCACACAGGCTTTGTGCTGCATTGCAACATCTCTGCAAAAATAGCAGTCCTCTCAGTAAACATTTTTACAAATTAACAAAATTTCATTCAATTTCAAATGGGTTCAGGTAAAAGTAGTTGAACTACCAACCTCTTCATCATTTCCTGGATCTATTAATGAGACCAAACTCTCCACAAGTTTTTGACTATTCAACCACTATAGAACAAAAATTATCAAAACATGGTAAAGAAGAAGAGGAATCTTTTACAAGGAGACTGCACAAGCAGTTTAAAATTTTAACTGAGAATTTCCGCAGAAACCCAATTTTGGAATCAAGGCCAGACCACAACAAAGTGAGCTATATTCTCTACTCTTTGCAAGAAGTGCATAGGCTCTTTAATGTCCCCTGCTAGCCAGTACAGAGATGATGCAGACAGGGTCTACAGTTTATTGTCCTAGTTTAAGGAGATTGGTAAGAATATCTAGCCATTTGTGGATGTCATAACAAAGACACTACCTTCTCCTCATTATTTTCAAGACCCTTGAGTGCAGGTTTAGTCTTAGGCTTGGGCCCTCAGCCTCCAGCATTAAACAACCTGAGCTAACCAAGCAAATAAGCCAAGAAAATAAAAAGAAGGAACTCTACCTCAAGCAGGTCTTGTCGTAGTTGTGGTGATTCAACATTGGTTATCAATCGTAGAAGTAAATCCATAACAGCAGATGTACCAAGATGTTTCACAATGGCATTCACAAAATCTTCCTTACTTTTAAAGTACTCTAACATCTAAAAATAAATAATAAAAAGATATTTAAACAATAACAATTCTAGTCAGATGAAAAACATCCTTCAATATAAGTCTAACAAATTCTAAAAACCACTTGAATTGTTGGAGAGGAAAGCTTACTTACCAAAGATGTCTTCCTACTTATAAGAACTACCATAACTTTGCTGAAGAAACTGGAAGAGAAACACAAAATATCACAACTTAAAAAAGGTTAAATGGAAACATGGAAGGTCTCAAAACTTCTTCATTAGCAAAAACATTGCTTGACAAGCTGATGTGAATTCAGATACACCTTCCAAACTTAATTTCATTCATGGAATTTAGGGGCCAATTTGAAGAAGACCTACACCCATGTAAAGGAATCATCACTGAGACCATAGCTTGCAGAGCAAACATAATTTGGCGAGTGAGTGCTCAGTATTTTCTTAGGGAAAATTATGGCTGCCATCTTTGACTTTAATGGCAACGGAAGGTTGGGGAGAAAAAGAAATTTGTACCAAGGGGGTGGTCGATGGTCAAACATGAGGAGAGGGGTGGGGGTGGGGGAGTGAAGATTACGCCTGCCCAGAAAGTAATTGTTATTTTGCAAAACTCTGTTTGCCCACTAGCAGATTTCCTGATTGGTGAGGTTAAGCTCCAGCTCTCTATCACAAGCCAAATGTGTCAATATTATCAGTATCCATATTACAATATTATCAGAAAAAAATTCTTAAAAAGGAAAATTCTTACCTAGCTAGTAAGGGATTGAGTGGAGGTTCAGATTCCATGAATGACCAGATTTTATTTAAAAGGTCCTGAAAATGATTTAAGAACAATGCAATTTACATTCACCATCCCAAGGAAAAGATGAAATATAAAATGGCAAAGATGTCTGAAAAATTGTTAATTACAACTAATATTAATTTAACGGACATGTGTCACTTCTGGCAAAAACTGAGAAGTGTAACACATGCATAGCTTATTTTAAATCTATATTTTGTCTTTAAGTGCATAAGAAGGTGAGTGACTAATTCTTGTGGTATGTAAAAAATGTCCTTCCTATTTAAAAGAAAAAAGCTCTTTATCCTTCAAAGTGCATACATACCCTAGCAAGTTTCATACCTCATTGCTTGTTAACTTATCAATGATTGCATACACATCAGCTGTCAAAACTTCACAAGCAGTGTTAGGATGTCTGCAAAAGAGCAATTTGTGTCAAAAATGAGTCAAAGTTATCAAACAAATGACAAAAAACTAACCACAAACCAGTGTGTCAAGACTTCCCTATATAAACTGGTACAAACAACCTTACCAATGAACAAATTCAATGATACCATCAATTCATTAGCATATTTTCTTTAGAATCCCTATTTATGCAATAGTGGACTTTTTCTATGTTTATGTTGCCTAAATTAAACATGAGGAGGTTGGGAGAATTCAAAAACAATTATACAAACTGAAGATGCAGTCAAGGGTTTGTAGAATTTTCAAGAATTCTACTTAACTCTAAGTGTTTAGATGAGGCTATGTAAACACAGGAAAATCCTATTCTGTTCTCATAAAATAATTCAGAAAGTATAGAAAGCACAATGTCCCAGTTGTGTTTACATTCACACCTATCAGTTAATGAGGGCACATGTATTATCTTGAACATTTTACAAAAAATATCAAGAAATTTACCAGAATAATAACACAGCATGGTGACATAGCTCCCTATCAAGAGGGAAGTGCTGATGATGCCTACTTACTTGTATCTCACACTTTCATCTTTACTGTCATCTGGTTGTTGTAAAACATAGTCAACTAGCTCCTCCAAAATATCTGGTCTAGTAAAACTGGGCAATAAAGATAAAGAATGAGTAATGTAGGGGTTACCTCACCTTGCCTTCAGTGTATGTCACACAAAAATAAAATGAACATCAGTGGCCATTTAACTTGCATGGCCATTTTCTTTACAGGAAAGGTTGCCTAGTGTATCACTGATAACATATGGTTTTAGAAGGTATTTTACTCAAGTAAATCAGTTTATACTCCTTCACTTCAAAAAAATCCATTACTTTCCAGGTCATAAGAAGGACATTGTAAAATTCCAGGACTTCGTGGGTTTTACAAGATCTGAGAGCCCCATTCCTTTACCAATTTTTTTTCTTCAATGAAAATCAGCTTACCGTGTGAAAAGAAAATAAACCAAACCCAAATTTGCAGTATCCATTTCACATACTGACTTCAAATTTACAATCTCGTTAATAATGCTACTATCTGAGTATTTCCATTTATAAGATTCCCATTTAAAATGACCTCTTCATTTTTTTTTTTCACTTTTTGAGACAAGTGCACTGATATGAAGTAACATAAAAATGTTGAAAAATAAGGAAGATTTATGTCTCCTACACTGAGCCCCTTTAAAGCTTCCAAATTACATGCCACTGTACATATTACAATGAATCACTAAGATGAAATGATCTAGACATCCCATAGGGCTGCTGGAGAGTAATTTAAGGTGTTCCTCTCTTTTTATTTTATACTATTTTTCATTTACAGTATCACTATACTGTTAATTCTAGCTGATTTCGAATCTATAACAAAACTTACTTAAGACCTCCAAGCAGTCATACCTTGAAGATGTACCTTACAGCATATATGAAACCTCAAGTTCACAGAATCTTATTATTGTGGTTCAGGAATTTTCGTAACATTTTTTACTAGAGTACACCTCTTACTCTTCTCAATATTTTCTGCTTTTGAAACAGTCTCACAAGATCATATTCAAAATTACATTGGATGATGAACCTAAACATTTTGAACTGGCACTTTCTAATCAAGGTTATCAGCCTGTTTTTACAATTTTTCTTAATTCCTTTTTCGCATCCTCTTTGTCAAATTGTACATTTAGGCAAACCTTTGACCAAGTAAGAAAACAGATAAAATGCAAAAGCGACAGTACCCACAGGTTCTACAGCACAGAGTGCAAGACTAAAACCTTTTCACTTTCCACTTTCATGAGGCACATTTTAGACTAGAACAGTGAACTAAACATTTTGAAAGTAAGCCTCTGAGCACATTGAAATGTTTACCTTTGCAATTCACCATTTCTACACAGATGAATGCAAAATGTTAACAGATCCTTTGCTTAGAAAATCGAAAAATCTCTTCTTTCTATGAGCATTAAATTAACGTTTTCGTGAAACACTGCATACAAAAGAATTTAAATAAAACAGCAAGGCTCAAAAAATCAAAGGTATCCAAAAGAAAAGAAATGCATTCTGTGTGAGGTAAATGAAAAATAAACACTCCCACACATCATGCCAGCACAAAATTTCTTCATAACACTACAGGAAGATTCAGGAAGCTACTGCGTTGAATATCGACGGTTTTTTTCTACGACCATGAAGAAAGTCGTAATCGATAAGCCAATTGAGATGCCTGACAACGAGTACACATTTCTAATGATTTCCTGGGTCCGTATAAAGACGTAATCAAAGGTTTGCTATTTATAGTACACTAACTCCGCACTTTCATCTTAACCTCACAAATTTGGATATGATATTCTTTCCTCCATCCCTAATGACGTTAATCGATGATTTTCATAGGTCAACAATTGTTTCACTTCCCGTGCAAATTTATATCTGAAGCAATTATTTCAAAAAGAGACGTTTGACATAGTTGAGAAAACGTCACTATCATATAACTATTTAATGCTCATTCTTCATTGGAATAAACTTAGATCTTTGGTCCGTGAGCAGCGTTTAAAGTCGATTTATGAAACCTAAACGGACTTGAACTCTTTTTGAGCAAACAAGTCTGAGTTGTCTACGATGCAAAGAGATGTCCTACTTACAAGTCGACCAACTTTCTATTCTGCGATTTTGTCTCTTGCAACACATCATCTTCGTCCAATATTTCGCTCAAAGTACAGTCCTAGAAAAGAACGATTTCAACAAGTAATAGAATGTCACACAGAATAAAAAAAAATTTTCTCGAGCTGATTGCAAAACGAATGCATACAAAAATCAAACTCACCTCTCTCGTCAACATCGTGTCTATAGCAGAGCTTGGGTGCAAATCGAATTTCCAAAACATTTTGAGTCCGTGTATTAAATACTCCTCTAAAACTGTGGAAAAGTAGGTATCGTGAAGAGCAAATCAAGCTAGGATACAGGTCTTTGAATCAGAGTTTAAGAAATGCAGAAATCGGAATATTTCTTGCTCGAGCCCATCCACAAAGTTCTGTAGCAACTTTCGTTTTATACCTCTGAGATGGCCGTAAACCAAGATGGCGGCTTGCACTCTTTCAGTTGGATTTAATCGCCATAATTCTCGTTAATGAAGAACCTTACTTTCTCAATTTATTAACAACGTTGCACAATAAAAACCAAAAGTACAGAAGAACATGAAATCCACCACTATTTCCAAGATGCTGTTGGCTGTCGTGACCACATGCGCTCAAAATACTTTTCACAAAACATGAACTGACAATTTTCAGCCACCATTAATGTGCTGGAAATGACAGGCACGTTTTCACGTCTGGAGGAACGTAAATCAACAGAAACGTTCCGAAAGTCTAACGGCGGGAAACGAGTTCACTCAGCTTTACAAATGGAGAAAGAATATAGAAGGAAAATGGTAATAAGTTTTATGGACCATAATATGTTTCACAGTTTTGGGCACGTGACACTGAGATACAAGATGGCCGCCAAAAGTTTGAAAGCGAGGCTAAAGGGACCGGTATCCGGACTGGTTTGAAAGCGAGGCTAAAGGGACCGGTAGCCGGACTGGTATCTTCAGAAGGAAAAAAATGTCGCCAGCAAGCCCATTACAAGAATTTGCTCTTTGCAAGAGTTGTTCTGGAAAAGGAATGACACGTGGTACAGTGGATATTTAATTAATTCGTGTCATAGCAAATTCCTCGGCTACAAGAATGTCAGGTGTGTCTGAGCGTTTCTCGCCCAATTTGTTAACCTTCTCTGGTGTTTGACTACTCTGATAAGCTCTCATTTCAGGGTTTTCTTCAATTCAGACTATTCAGACAATTCTCTACAGCGCTACGAATGACTCGAAATATCGTGACATACCATACACAACCATTTTAATTTTTCATCAGCGCGGGAGGAAAACATGCAAGTGGCAAAACTTCGTAATCGTTGAATCATACATACATACATACATACATACATAACTTTATTTGATAACGCAGGTTAAAATTTGCGCAACTTTACAGCTGATGTGGACCTGCCTAAACTAATTAGTCTATAATTATATAAAATACAGATATGATAAAATTTATAAGTTGAATAAATCAAGTAAACCATAAAGTTTTAGTAATAGTGAAAATTTGGTTTCATGTTTTGTATAACATTACCTCCCTTTTCAAAATTAATATTCATAACAGTTTGCTTGGATTGTTTTAAGTTATATTTAAAAATAGATAAATTTGGAGAATCTTTAACATTATCGGGAAGTGCATTCCATGCTACTGCAGATCTATGAGCAAAGGACCTACGACCCAATTCGGTTTTGGGCCTATTAAGTACAACATTCAGGGATTTCCTTAGGTTATAACTGTTAGAGTTCTTGGTCACCAAACAATTAATTTCCCGCAACCCTAAATTATAATAAGCATTATATGTAATAGTTAAGATACGTAGCTTATAAAAATACTCTAAAGGCATCCAGCCAACCTTAGAAAGTACATCATTATCCCCAAAACTATTTGGTATCTTATGAATTAGCCTGGCAGCCCTGATGTGAATCATTTCTAGATCTTTAAGCTTGGATCCAGACCCCCAAATTGCAATTCCATATAGAACACTTGGTATAACTATCCTATAGTAAAAAGTCTCCAAGATAGATGTACATAGGAAATTTATACGTCTCAACATTTTAACTTTGGCATTAAATGCAGATCTAGCCAATGCAACATGCTGAGACCAAGAGAGTTTATCATCAATTATGTATGTATGTATGTATGAGATACAAGATGGCCGCCAAAAGTTTGAAAGCGAGGCTAAAGGGACCGGTATCCGGACTGGTTTGAAAGCGAGGCTAAAGGGACCGGTAGCCGGACTGGTATCTTCAGAAGGAAAAAAATGTCGCCAGCAAGCCCATTACAAGAATTTGCTCTTTGCAAGAGTTGTTCTGGAAAAGGAATGACACGTGGTACAGTGGATATTTAATTAATTCGTGTCATAGCAAATTCCTCGGCTACAAGAATGTCAGGTGTGTCTGAGCGTTTCTCGCCCAATTTGTTAACCTTCTCTGGTGTTTGACTACTCTGATAAGCTCTCATTTCAGGGTTTTCTTCAATTCAGACTATTCAGACAATTCTCTACAGCGCTACGAATGACTCGAAATATCGTGACATACCATACACAACCATTTTAATTTTTCATCAGCGCGGGAGGAAAACATGCAAGTGGCAAAACTTCGTAATCGTTGAATCACGAAGGATGCCGTAATGCCCGGTCAAAAGGAAAACTTGCAAGAAAAATTATGTATTTGTCTACTAGTTAAAAATTCACAAGTACTGATTTTGGAGATATGTAAGGAACATATGCGTTCAAATTTATAGAGAGACAACCGACCGAACATATCTGAGACTCAGAGACTTGGAAACACGTGCGTTTCGTCAAATAATTACAATTTAGGCAAGACAGAAAAAGGAAACAAACATAGGCATTGCAAAAAATTGAAGCTGGAAAAGAAAAGAGTTCAACGCATCAATTTCCACAAAAGAATATTGTTTTTCTCAGGAGGAGTGAACACGCCTAAGAAATTGGTCTCTACTGTGTCTACTAATCCATACAAGACTTGGAAATTGTCATGTTAGCTACTAACATCACTTATGTGCCAGTTTTTACAGGTTTTAAAAGAGATTGTCATTCAAAAACATGAACACAGTTCTCAGTTGGATCAGTGATAAATAACTGTCCTTTCTTCGACATGGCAACAGACCATGGTGTCACATTCAACTGGTCTTCACCATGGACATACTTCCCATCCAGTGTAAATACTTGTAATCGTTTGCTTTCATAGTCACAGACTATCAGGTTGTTATATTTATCGACAGCAAAGCCAAATGGGCCATCTAACCGTCTAGCGTGAGGCCCCTCCATTCCAATGTTACGGCAGAACACTCCTTCCTTATTAAAAACCTTGACACACCCAAGCCCATCGTAGCTCGCAAAAAATCGGTCCTGGTGAAAAATAGCAAACCACGGAGCCTCATCACAATCTGGAGAACTGAAACACTTTATCAATTCTGTACCGTCGATGGAGAGGACCTTGATTGAATTGTCGCCATTGTCACAAACAACCATTTGATTGTCACATGTAATAGACAATGCCCAAGGAGATTTTAATAGCTCATTGGTAATGTGTGTTATAAAATGACAATCTTCAGAGAATAGTGAAATCTGGCCTGAAGACACGACAGCCAATTCACCAGACCTGGTAAACGCGACAGAGAACGGCTCATGGAATCTGCTAGGGCCGTCTCCTTTCTGACAGAACTCACGCAAAAACTTGCCATCTGAACCAAAAAGTTGAATTCTATTATTTTGGCAATCTGCGACTGCAATATTGCCTGACTTATCGCACACTGCAATATCAAAGGGATCTTCAAACTGTCCTTGAACTTTTCCCCTTGAGCCGAATTTAAACACGTGTCTGTATCGGTGCGGATGTACCCGAATACTCCAGGGGCTACCGGTCAGTGGCTGAGAGTTCACCTCTATCGTCACGCGATGTATTCCTGTACAAGTTGGCGTGAAAGTCACAATATATCTACCGTCTTGCTTGTTGGTGATTGTCTCGTCTATGTCTTCCCCTAACGGTGTCTTGATACTAACGGTAACTGTGTCGTTCTTGTAATAACACACTTTCCCTTCGAAATCTTTTGTTGTTATCACAAAATCGCTTTTTCTACCAACTTCTGCGCATTCTAAACCAGCTCCTTCAGCCACTGACTTCAGAGAGTTTGAAGAACTAACAATAACTTGTCCAAGAATCGTTTGCATGATGTTCTGAACAGCTTCATCGTTTGACAAATAACTAACGTGTGATGGCATGCAAACGTTCAATTTACAAGTGTTTAGAAGACCTTTACAACGTTCCACAACGGTCTGATGTGTTTGCAGAATTTCTATGCAGTTGTTTCTCTTCAAAATGTCTTCACAGTGTTGTACACTGTCTTTAAGCTGCGCACTTAACAGTTGATAGCGTTCTTGCTGTAATGCATGACTTTTGTCTTGTTCTTCCTCAATCCTTTCTAAATCTTCCAAAACAGCCTTTTCGTGTTCCCTTACAACCCGAATAACGTCTTCCACAGTCTTTCGCACGCAGGTGCGAGCTATTGTGATTTCGTGTCGTACAATGTTCCACAAGTCGGACAACCTTTTCATTCGGTTTTTGCAGGCGTCAATCTTTGTTTTTAGGCGCTGAAGAACATCGAAGACTAGAGCCTTTTGTTCATCAGCGACTTGTTGTATTTTAACGCTAGTGTGATTATGGTGAGGAATAAGTTTGCACTTGTGACAGATACAGATCTCACATTCTCGACAGTAAAATTGAAGTGGTTCGTTCTCATGACATCTTTCTTCACACAAACCAGGACTGTTTGAGTCCCCGATTTCTTCCACCTTTAATTGTTTCATTCCTAAAACAAACAAAACACCATAGTCAGTGCGAAAGTCACAGTGAAGGGAAACTCTTAGCAATACTAATCTTAGATGATTAAGTAGGTGCGGATATGTTTGCATCCAAGTCTGTGATTTTTGTCTCTCCGCCCACTTGTCTTAATAACTTCTCTATTTGTTCCACCCTTTCAAATTATTGGTCGCAAAATTAATCTCAATCGCGACTTGGTTACTCGTGTTTTCGGTTTACGAAAGGTTTGGTCTATCGATCCATCAATCTCTTCTTGCAAGTAAAAATCTAGAATTGAGACAAACCTTCGTTATCCAGGTGCACCTTTGGAGTTAAGGTTGGTGATTTTAAATCATCCAGTCTTTTCATGACTATTTCAATCCCATATCCGATTTCATCCAATTTATCTTTCAAGTTATCTTCATCTTTCTTCCACTGACAGAGCAGTTCTTTGTAGTGATCTTCAATCTCAGGGTCCATACACTCAGTTTCAAGATTGTCAATAGCTGCTTTGTATTTCACTCCAGCCAGCCTCACCAGAGTGTCCCGGATGTCGCCCCAGCATGCGTTGAACGTCGCATCATCAACTGAAGCACACTCAGCATGACCATATACAGTGTTCCTGTAATATTTAACTCGGGCAATATCAGCTTCAAGACTCACATCTGTTGCAGCAGGAAGTGTATCCCAGCCTGCTATAGGAGAAGGTAAGCCGCAAAAGTTTCGCAGCAAAACCGTCAAAAGGGTGATATCAAAATCTCTGGAAGACACTGAGGATGGAATAAAAGGATAGAGTTTTCCCCATTGCGTTGCATTTATAATCTTTCTTGTTCTCAGTGACTGTAACTTAGTTTTGTTACTCGCCAAAACTGTGTGAAGATTGGCTGGGGGATGAATGGCATCGAATGTGTCGCGGAGGGCCTGGGTACCAACATCAACCAGCAGACGACACAAGCGAGCGTAGTTGGTAGTCTCCTTAGTAGATGAAACTGACGGTGCTGCGGCAGCCATGAGAACAACCTCCTTAATAAAAATAATGAAATAATAATAAAATAATGAAATAATGATAAAATAATGAAATTGGATTAGTAAATATTAGGAGTATCACTTCCTTCGCTCAGAAAAACATCACTTTAAAGGCGATAATTTATGGGAGCGGTCAAAAACGATGATTTCGATGGGATCAAGGACACAAGTAAGCTTTTATATCGTATCAAATCTATGATACCTTGTTTAATCTTTTGGAAATTTGGATAACGGTTATTTAGGAGAACAAGCCGCGGAGATGAAAAAAACAAACAAACAAACGATAAACGAAAAATCGCTCGGTCGGTGGGTGTGATAATTAACAACTCGTCTCCGAAGTGGAGGTGGGATATTAACCGAGCCGCGAAGCAGTGAGGAAATATGACCTATTATTTAATTTTCAACTCCGAATATTGCATTCCTAGTGTTCTGATTGATTCGCTTAACTCCGATTATCAGCTCAAAATTCCAAGTCACTTTATGCGAATGCATTGCGCCAAAGCCGAAAAAAGGCTCCAAATATCAAACAATTATTTGAGCATATCTCGAAGATGTGTCTAGGTGAATAGTTGGCATTTTAATCTCACTATAGCCCACTGACACCAGATTTTTGCTACTAACAGTGGGTAACCAAAAAGAGAAACTTTCAGCAAGCATTTCAATATCTTTGTGCCCTCCTTTCTCCCCCCCCCCCACCCCCCTCCCCTCATTTTAGGCTTAAGCTATGGAAAATAGAAGGCGACGTCCGTAAGCCATGTGTAACGCAATAGACCGGAACAAGGATGTTGTTAATCAACCACTGAGGCATTTGGCTCTATTAGATATTCATTGTGCATTACTAGCGATGATTGCCTGTTTCTTTGAAAAAATACGGTTTCAATTTGGTAATGACCATAACAAGTATTTTAATATAAGTGTTATCACATACGAGATCGAAATGAGGTGTAGGTCAAAGCCACTTAAAATTTGACAGAAGCGACGAGTTATCGAGAGTTAACTAAGCTTTCTCTTGGCTCAAGATATTTCATTCGAGGTAAACGCGCTCGTCTTGCATGTCTAATGATTTTCAATAAAATTAAAGGGGTACTAAGATCGCTGATTGATTAAAAAGGGAAATATAAGCCAAACCTTTTTCGTAAGCCTACAGATGTGTGACTATTGAAGGAATTGGAGGTATGACTCTAACCACTCCTCATAGCTGTTATGGATTATGAGAAAAGCTTAACTCTAAGTATAGAAAAATTGAAGTACAAACCTGCGATCTCAGAAAATGTAACAAACGAATCAAAGAGAGTATGAGAAGATCAACCCTTTCTTTAGGTCTTCTTGAACTGATGCGGTGACGATATCGAAAATACATCCACGTAGCTCAAGTGTCATTTAAGCTTCGTTCCCAGACTCTCCAAGACATGTTCTATAATTTTCTGTTTTCCAGCGTCACAAAGTTCGTCACGCAACGTAACTTGCACAAATCAATGCAAAGATATCCTGTGCTATTTAAAACAGACGGAATCGATCTTTTACAAGTACAGACCTAACAGATAGTCTTTCAACCTTTTGAAAAAATATTTAATGCGCTTTGGTTTAACAATTACATTATTTGGATAATATGGTATAAGAATCCTGATCAGTAACAGCCGATCATGTTTACGTGGAATATATAAATCAGTCTATAGGAGTGCTTTTTCAGTTTTATCCTTTATCCTTTACTTCTACTTCCCTCTTATCTCTTGCTCCGAGATAAGATAATCCACCACAAACAACCAACTCAGTCCTATTGAGAGTCGTGTTAGAATTCAAGACAAACTTCGCTGTATAGGTTTGACCTTTTTCCTGTAATATCTTAAGGTATTTTAAAGCATTACCTATATATTAAAATTATACCTTACAGCATCTTAAGAAAATGACTTAATAAAAGATTACTCGAAGTCTACGATCAGTCTTTGTACATTTGATTGAATTTCGAAAACTTTGTTGACTAGATCAGTTAGAATATGCCTCCTTTGCTTTGCCTCGCAGCCATGCTGTTCTTGCAAAGATTATTCAGCACAACCTCATTAATACTATTCCCTTAACAGCTGCCTTAAACACTCGCATTTAATTGGTTAAAAGTCGATCAATATCGGAAACAATCCACGGTTGAAAAAACACTCGTCTTTCAGTTTTTCTCACCAATTTACTCTCGCCTAAAAACGATTATATATCAAAGACTTTCATGACAAATGTACCTTAGAATATATCTCCTTATATAAACTTGTGAATTTGATTGATTCAGAAACTTGTATTTACGGTGGCATCATCATCAGTCTATACTTAAAAGGAAATCAATTTATCTTTTTTTTTAGTTATTGACTGCTCTTGTAAATTGAATAGATGTTTCTTACCCTGGCCCAATTAATTTAGGTCCCGATTATCAATCTTAAAAAACTATGCCTATACTTTTCAGAGCGGTCATGCAAAATCCGTTTTAATCTTTCCCATCGTTTAATATCTCTGTTACTTTTTGTGTTATATTTATATTTCTTCAGAGTTTATCTACTCGACCAAACTTGTATTTTAAGGCGTTTTAAAGTTCAATAGGTTACCCTATACATTTTGTAAATAATGATATGCACGTTGCTATACGAGGTAATAAAGCCTGTAAAACATCGTAATTCAGTCGCTGAATTGACATAGCGGGCGAAATGAGTCAAATGATGAGGTGGTAAAGTTGGCTTTGGCCCGCCGACCGCCGCTGCAGGGAACTTCAGTGACGAAGAGTCCCGATAAAAGGATAAAATCACAAAAGTTTTAAACATAGATAAAAGTTCTTTAACGAATATGTCATCTATTATTGAAATCCTGCTTATGTACCAGCTATCCGGCAATTTCCAACGAAAAGTTACTAAATTTTATCAAAGCACTAAATGAAATATTTGCAAATGAAAATACTTAAGAATTTTTCTGAAACAATCAGAAGGCTTGTCTCTATTTCAACTAATTAGCTTTGAATGCTGACTTGTAGCTTCATCCCTCGAAAATCATGGACTAATAATACGGTCAAGAGTCACTTTTGCTACAAAATAACTGAGTCTTGAGTTTACCATCTTCTTCAGTGTAAGACATGAATACAGTTTTCGGTAAAGTCTGTTACAAAAAGCTGCCCAGTCGATGAAGCCGCAACTGTTCCAGGGCACTCCAGTCCTGGTACTGAGTTGACAAACTTTCCATCCAGTGAGAACACGAGCAGCCTGTGGTTGCTGGGGTCACACACGATCAAGTTGTTGAACTTGTCAATGGTAATTCCAGTAGGATAACTCATTTGTCCGTCACCACAGCCCACGCCACCGATGCTGTACTGAAACCATCCATCCTTGTTGAACACTTTGACTACATGATTCAAGCCGTAACAAACGAAGAACCTCTCTTGGTGACTAATAGCGAACCATGGAGGATCATTCACCAGGCGATCTTTGAATGGCTTCATTATCAATTTTGTACCGTCAGGGGAGAGGACCTTTACTGTGTTATCGCTCCAGTCACACAAGATCAGATTCTTATCGCCACTGACAGACAAGAATCTTGGATCTTTCGCGAGTTTTTTGGAAGCTTTTGTGAGACTGTCATCATCGTTATTGAAGAAATAAATATCACCGCTAGCGATGATGACGATGTCACCAGAATTGGTGAATCCCACGGAAGTAGGAGAATTCAGTTCCTTTCCACCACAGCCAGATTTACTTATCTCTTTGGTGAAGTGTCCATTGGAGCTGAACAATTGTACCCTGTTGTTCTTAGCATCAGCAACGGCAATGTCCCCTGTCTGTTCGTTGATTGCAATGTCACAAGGTCCATCAAATTCTCCTGTAGCTTTACCAGTTCTCCCGAAAGCTGATCCAATTTCGTATTTATGTGGAGTCACGTGAACACGCCAGGGACTTAAAGGAAGGGGGTTTCCATTGACAGCGATCGATATTTCATGTTGTCCGTCGCAGTCAGGTGTATAGGACACGATGTATGAACCATTTTTATTGTTTATAATCTCAGTGCTGAGATCCTTTCCAAGTGGAGTCTGGATTTTCACTTCTATCTTATCGTCCGCGTTGTAAACCTGTTTTTGATTTGCATCTCGGGTCAGGATTTTGAGGGAAGACGCTCTTCCGATTTCTACTCTTTGCAGGCCTTCTCTCTCTACCACTGAGTAGACAGTCGTTGAATTGTCGTCACTTACGACTCGGCCCAGGATTGCGCATTTTATTCTTTGAATATCTTCATCGTTTGTCTCGTACCTGACATTCCTCGCCGGTTTTTTATGATGACTTCTGCCAGCATCGCAGAGATCTTTGCAATATTCATCGACAGATTGACAAGTTTCTAAAATTTCATCAGGGTCGTTTTTGTTTAAGGTGGCTTGTAATTCTTCTGATTTGGTTTTTAACCGCTTGCGAGACTGCTTTAAGTGTTCGTTGTGTTTTTTGTGAACTTCTTCAATATCGTTCAAAATGTTCTCCGTGTCCTTTTTGTGATCCTGTAACATCTGTATGAGAGATTCAACAGTCTTCGCTACCACTCCTCGGGCTTTTTCAATGTCTCTTTGACTTCGTGTCAACTGGTCGCCTGCTTCTTCCACCTTCATCTCATAAACACGAATTTTATCTTCCATTTTCTTCACAGCTTCTTTTATCTTTGGCTTTTGTCTATCTGCAGCCTGTCGTTTTTTCATTGTAGTGTGATCAAAGTGAATTTTTTTATCCTGGGCGGAAAAGCACACCTTGCATTCCTCACAGTAAAAATCCAGAGTTGGTGGCTCGACAGGTTCGGGTCCTAAATACAGAGAAAAAACACAGATTATAGTTACAGGCCCATCCAAAATCCTTAAATTCAAGATATAAATTGGTCGGCTTGAGGGATTAATGTACTTGTATTTCCTTTTAGGACGTGGTTTGTTGTAATGTTAAGAATTGCAACATAAATCTATCTGAGTGCAAAGGGAACGATATAATGACATTCGTTAAAAGGTAGCGTAGCGCTATCAAATTTACAATGGGAGGGTTTTTATTCTTGGTTTTTATTCGGAAAGACCATTCGAATCCCCTCTTGTGAGGTATCTCCACTGGAATAGAATGATTATTACCCCACCCCCCTTGCTTCTCCCCCTTCGGAGGAGCTACTCAAATGATCCTTGGTAACTTCAGAAAGATAGTCTGGTTTCAGAAGACGCTTATTCATCCTCGCTCACAAAAATGATGCTGGTAAACTCAGTTCCCTTGACGACCTTCGTATCTTTCCATCTTAAAATATGGATAGTTTGTTCACTATCTGGTGAAGATATCATATTTTGAAACGGGAGAATTCCTAGTACTGCATTAATATCGGTATAATAATAACAAAAATGTTTTAACTAATTTATCAAAATAATTTTCAGGATAACTATAGAGAGACAATCAACATACCATTGTTTAATACTTTCTTCGATAGTTTCGATAGATAGTTTTCGATAGTCCCCATTTGGTTTCCCAACTTGTCCAGTTTATACGTGATACCTATTTCATTCTTCTGCCATTCTTCAAGAAGGTCTTTGTATTTATCTTCAGTTTCGGGGTCCATGCAAGCAGTTTCAAGATTTTTAATCTCTTTCTGATACTTATTACCTCCCAGTCTCACTAGAGCGGCCCGGATGTCAGACCAGTATTTTTTGAATTCCGCTTCATCAACTGAAGTACGCTCGGCATGAGCGTACACAGTGTTTCTGTAATATTTCACACGAGCAATGTCTGCTGCAGTGCTCTCATCTGACTTGGGAGGAAGGTTGTTCCATCCTTTCGAGGGTTCAGATAAGTCGCAGATATTTCGAAATAAAGCAGTTAAAAGTGTGATGTCAAATCCTGCTGATGACACTTGAGTAGGGTCAGAAGGAAAAAGCTTGTCCATCTGAGCCGGATAGAGAATCCTTCGATCCCTCAGCTTCTCTAACTCTGCCTTGTTTTCCGCCAAAACTGCGTGAAGTTTTGCTGGGGGATGGATTTCATCGAATTTATCTCGGAGGGCCTGGGTTCCAATATCAACCAGCAGACGACACAAGCGGGCATAGTTCGTTCTTCCCTTAGTGGATGAAGTTGGTGGTGTTGCGCAAGCCATGAGGAAAATTTGCTATAAGAAAAAACAAAGCCAGATTTATAAATAAAATGTAGATGAATAGCATCAGTAGCTATGGATAGAAAATCAGGGTGTTTAATGGTGAAAATCAGGGTATTTGATGGTGAGCTCAATACAATTCAGATTTCTGTCCCAGTAAGTTTATATCGTTCGCCATACACAATTGATTAGCCTGACTCTTACATCGATAGACAAACGTTCATTTATTCAGGTTTGTCAACGGGGCTTATTTCCAAAAAAAAATAATTTCACACACGCCAACCGCCTCAGAGTTTATTCTATTAATATATATTATTGTATATATATATATTGTATTATTACATCTATTTAATTCATCCATCCATTTGCAGACTATTTAAGGCTGAATTTATTTCATTTTTTTAAAAAATAACCAAAACAAAAACAACAATCAACAAACTGACCGACACATTAATCGCATGATTTTATGACTTACATGAAAATGGAAACACTGGCTTGCACTTTCTGCCAGCTTAAAGGATTGTTATATTGTTCAATTTTGCTCTAATTTTGAGTTCAGTGCCAAACTTCCTGCAAGCTTGCTTTTTTTGCTCAGCATTTTCCCCTGAGATCTCCTGATACGCAAAACTAGCACAATATTTTCTTTTCTTCAACTCAAACGAAAGAGGGGTCCAACATTTTAATTCTTGGGGGAAATGAGGGCAAACGAGAAACATCGTGTGAAAACTAAAGGAATAGGACCTGCCCTTGAATATCGATCATGTTTTTATTGTTTTTTAAATTTTTCCCTTGGGCTGCTCTTTAACTGATGATCAAAAAATGCAGTTTGACAGCATAGCTTCGAGTGTCCCATGTGGGCGATGGTGAAAATTGTTTGTCAGGGTAGAAAATTGTTGAAGTGAAACTGAACGAACCTTTGCAAATAATACTGAAAGAAAGCTTAACAACAGAATGGGGAACTTCTGAAAACTGTCAGGTGAATTCATCTCATCTCATTAATTTGGGGTACAAATTTCTTTCTCTGCCCAGCCCTCCGCTACACATAAAGTTGTCGAAGATTCAATCGTGTCCTTGACTACATACATACATATATATATATATATATATATATATATATATATATATATCTAATCAAAAGGGGCATAATTATGTGGCATTTTTTTCAGCTAATTGAAATAAAATTTATTGTGAAAGGAAAAAATGTGTTTGGCAGGTGTACATTCAGAATTCGTGAAAAACGAAAAAGACAAAAAAGATGTGTCATGATCATGTGTAAAAACTGAAAAGGTTACGATTGCTGGAAGAAGGAAGCAGTTATTTTTAAGACAACTCTATCAACTTCATCCTCAATGTTATTGACTATTGATTGCTGTGAAAAAGGTTAACTTGGATTGCATCATCACTCGGCTCCTTTAACACCCAAGATCTCATCAGCAGTTCTCCCTATTGCCTGCCATTCAATCCTTACTATGTTAGTTCGGAGAATTTAGTATTGGATCAACTGATAATTTTCAATTTTTTTTCTTACTCGTATCAATTGTCCGCTTGATATTGCCTTAATAGTGTAAGAAAAATTAAGTCACTCATGGGAGAAAAAGGGTTAAAACAATGTAGCAGCAATCTAACGGCGTGAAATGAAATGCTAATCATACACACTTTAGCCCCGACCTGGCAAATTGTAATAAAATGTTGATCCTGCTACACGTACTGATCGATCGACATGCCACAAGTTTGTCTTTTCTGAGAGGCAAGTGCTCAAGGTTGCATAAAGAACTTGAAAAGCGCACTTGTTGCCAAAGTTCCTCTTCGATGTGCTACAATATTATGTATCAACCTGTCGTTCAAATTCGTTGCGATACTCGAACGACTGTAAAAGCACCGTTTCGTGTGCTACTCTAGCTAAATCTTTGGGAGCTTACTTATTTTCGGAACTAATCGACCATACCGCTCACTTGAAAATAAGGAAACGCTTTTGATACTTTACGCTTAACCTTTCTCAGTTTACGAAATACCATAGGAATAAAAGAAACAATTATGAAATACACTGACCGGCTGGAGGTTTTTAATCAATTGATGAACGAATTCTCCCTATGATTAGAGCGATATGGTCTGCTAGATCCGTTTTTCGGTAAGCCGAGCATTAGTCGTGAAAACAAACCTGTGATGTCTGAAGTTTGACAAAAAGATTCCTGAACGGTGAAAATCGGATATCCGTGGATCACTTGAAGTAATGCGGAGAAAGGACGGGTTGATTTAACCATAACTCATAAATAGAGTCTGACAGGAAGTTGAACGCGTGCTTCTCTTATGAAAGCGAAAGTTTTCTTGTTTATAACATTTGATGGAAACTGAAAGCTAAAAGCGAATAATGTTCTCAAGATAGCAACGTCTTCCCATGAATAAGTCAAATTTTTCATTTCAACTAAAATAGAAGCTTGGGCAAATCACTCGTGCATTCATGTTATCTGTGAATAAGTTCAGGATAATTTGAAAGGAAGTTAAGAAAACAATTTTTCAGCATTAATAAAAAGCTCCCGTGCAATGAGTTAGGAGTATTTGGGAATTGCGAAAATAATTTATTTGTTTGATTTTCATTCGCAGGCCCAATAAAATTTATCTTATGGCAAGTTGTTTGTTGTACTTGTTGATTGAGCCGATAAAGCAGTATATTCTTGGCAATTTTCTTTACTTTCGAGTTTTTACTTGTGTGAGTACATAACAATTTCTATAGTTGTAGGATAAATGGATTTCTTTATGAGAAACGCACATTGAAATTACGCGTATCAGTTCATCGAGCTACGAAGCAGAGCGGATATGTTACACTAATTAATTGGGTGTCCTCCCTTCAAACATTACTATGCCAATGAAAGAGTAGCCTGTCAATACAGAGAAGGCGTTTTCGTCTTTTATTTGGAAAAAAAAGCTGAAAAAGGCTTCTGATGATATCAGAAGAGACAAAAGGTTTTGAATATCAGTTTTGTGTCAGAAAAACTAACGGAAGAGATTCTCAATTAAAGCCAACAAAGACTAATCCTTGACCTATAAAGCGGTTTGCAGTTACTCAAAGGTTACGATGCTTTTTTTTTTGGGATCAGTAATATAAAGCAATGGCCATCGAGTACACGAGCTAACTGCTATACACCAAGGACAGTCCAGATTTTTGTTGCTAGCCATGTTTAGAAATGTTCCATTCAGTTTGAACACCTTTAACGCTTTGTTTTCCTCGTCACAAACCACCAGGTTGTTATAGGTATCAACACCAAGTCCGCGGGGCTTACTCAATTGTCCTTCACCTGCTATCTCATTGCCAATATCATAGAGAAAGTCCCCATCCTTGTTGAAAGTTTTAACACAACCAGCTGTGGGGTATGACACGAAGAACTTGTCTTGGTGACTAACAGCTTCCCACGGGGATTCATCGCAGTCTGGTATTCTAAAGGACTGTAACAATTCTGTACCGTCAGGAGAGAGGACCTTGACGGAATTGTCACCTAAGTCGCACACTATCACGCGGCCATCACAAGCAACAGTCAACGAGAATGGGAACTTGATTTCTTTGTTGTTAATACACTCTGCAGATTGACCACGGACAGTAAAACAATAGATAGAACCAGAGGCAGTAACCAGCACGTCACCACAACGGTTGAATGCAACTGAGGTGGGATCTGTTAGTTTTGGTCCATTTTGACCAAATTCAGTTATATGAAAACCCCATGTGCTGAACAGTTGCACTATTTGTTTCTTTCGATCTGCTACTGCCAAATTCCCTGTCTTATTGTCTATTGCAATGGCGCAGGGTTCTCTGAGTTTTGCCTTTCTAAGTGGCTGGAAATCACATGAGAATCTATACCGGTGTGGAGCCACATGTACCCTCCATGGACTACAAGGAAGAGGTTGATCGTTAACAAAAACTGTCACCTCGTGTTCTCCAACACGATTGGGTGTGTATCTGACCCTATATGTCCCACGTGACATCCAGTTGTCAATCATGGTGGCGAGGTCCCCTTCCACTGGACTCCGAACTGTTACTTTGATCTCATCAATTTTATGGTAACACTGTTTCCCATTTGAATCAATTGTTTTGATATCAAAGATCTTTGTACATCCAGCCTCAGCTATTACTGAGTCATAACCTTTCACATATGATCTTAGTGGATCAGTTTTACTAACGAGTACTTTACCTGGATCTGTACTTGTAAAATTCTGAACGTAATTCGTATCTTTAAGGTAGAAAACGTGACAAGGCTTAAAAACGTCCATTTTTGTTGCTCTTAGAACACCTTTAAACCTTTCAATTTTCGCCTGTTGCGATTTTAGGGTCTCGATGGTGGTGTCTCCTCGTAACATTTCCACGCAATTTCTCACAGAGATTTTTAATTCGTCTACAGATGTTTCGAGGCTTTCTACTCGTCTAGAATATTCTCTTTGTTGTGCTTCTTCCATAACATCCAACTCGGTCACCATGGACCTCTCGTGCTCTCTTAAAACATGAATGAGTTCTTCAACGATTGTTCGCACACTATTCCGAGCCGCAGAGATTTTTTCTTTGCTTATTGCAAGTGCTTTTGTTGTTTTTGTAATTTGTGTCTCAAGCTCAGAAATTTGCATTTTCATTTGTTTTACAGTCTCTTCCATTTTCAGTTTCTCTTCCTCGGTAGCCTGTTGGATATTCACTTTGGTGTGCTGAGTATGACGAGTTTTACCACACCTATCGCAAATGGAAACTTTACAGTTCTTGCAATAGTGATCCAGAGGTTCAGTCTCGTGGCCTTTCTCTGTACACATCAATGAGTTCTCCAACAGTTCTTTCGACGCGATGGACTCGCCTGGCGAGAACGCAAATGAAAAATTTAAGTGAGCGAGAAATTCTTCCTCTTCTTCTTTAGGAACATTAACGTACTGAGTTACGTTTTATAGGTGGATAAGTAAAGCGTAAAAACGCGTTCAGTGGCGAATACAATTTGCAAACTTTTAGAACAAACGTAAACTCTCTCTCTCACTGACATTGTGAGCTGAACATATAGAAGTACATTACTGAACGTTTGAAATGTTCAGTCATACGATCTGCTCTTATCTCATTGAGCTTTTAAGATGTGGTCTTTCTTTTTATTTGTCAGATAAAGTGGACGACTGAGATATGTTTGCTTTAAAAGAGCAAAAAACAACGCAAAGAAAATTCCAACTTAAGTTATACTTACTTTCCATTTTAGGTTCCTTATTTGAAGATTTCAAATCATCCAGCCTTTTTATGACATTTTTAATTCCGGTACCAAGTTCACACAGCTGGTCCTTGACGTTATATTCATCTTTCTTCCACTGGCTGAGAAGTTCTTTGTAATGATCTTCAGATTCAGGGTCCATGCACTCAGTTTCAAGATTATCAATGGCTGATTTGTACTTTACACCTCCAACTCTTACCAGAGTGTCTCGGATGTCGCTCCAGCATGTGCTGAATGTCGCATCTTCAACTGAAGCGCACTCAGCATGACCGTACACAGTGTTTCTGTAATATTTAACGCGGACGATATCAGCTTCACGGCTTAAGTCAGTAACAGCAGGTAGCGTATCCCAACCTGTTGCAGGAGAATGTAGGCTGCATACGTTTCGCAGCAGAACCATTAAAAGTGTGATGTCGAAATGGGCCGATGAAACTGAAGTAGGAATGGCTGGAAAGAGCTTTCCCCATTGTGTCGCGTTTATTACCTTTCTTTTTCTTAGAGCCTGTAAGGTGATTTTTTTGGCCGTCAAAATTGTGATGAGATTGGCTGGCGGATGGATGGCATCAAATGTGTCTCTAAGAGCCTGGGTACCAACATCAACCAGCAGACGACACAAGCGAGCGTAGTTCGTTGTCTCCTTTGTGGATGAAACTGTTGGAGCTGCACAAGCCATTGAATATCTAAGGCAGAAAATACTGTTTCAGCTTAAACGTATTTCCAATGAGAATGGCGCCTAAAAGTCTCCCGATGAAAACCATAGTCACTAAAGTTTTTTTCACTTTAAAACATGCATGTTTTCAAAAGAATTCAAATAGTTCACTCGAATCCTCAGGAAAAAGAGTTAGGTAATAAAGTCTTCGTTGCTGGAAACTGGCACAGCAAGGTTAAATCTTAGCCAAATTTAAAATTTGAAATTGCCGGGAAATTGTCTTCACTGCACACTTATCCTGAGGAGCTATTTGTTTTGACGGAGTAGTTTTGTTGTACCGTGATAGCTGAGAACATTAACAGTTAAACTTTCTCTCATGTGATGAAGTTCTTGCAGTTTCTTGGCCAAACATTCCGCCAAAATTATCAATCTAGAGCTCAAATAGCATATCTTTCAGTATATTTTGCTGAATGGAAGCTAAAAATGCCGAAGAGAATGATCACTGCAATGTATTTGGACGGAAACTGATACCGGGTGGAAACTAAAAAAAAAAGAACATTGATAAATGTTTTAAAATATCTAAAAGAACTGTCTGTTTATCGGTACCGGCCTCTTGTACAAGATAGTTTGATTTTTTGCGTCAAAGTCCTTTGAATAATAGGGGGTATTGGAAACCTGAGATTTAATTCGTGGTAAAATGGGGGTTCGTACTTCAGTTAGTGTCCGCCTCATGCAGGGCACCTGTTCAACATAAGGTCTGCCTAATATTCTCAGTCTACCCCAGCCAAAATCTCCATAACTTACTGAGGTGTGAAACCGAAAGAACGGTAATTTAACATACTTTGATTAGCCAGAGAGATAAATCAATCGATTAAAGAGTCAGTTGTCTATGGAATATGGTCAGACAGTAAAATAAAGACCTATTAAACGTTATGCCACCGCCAGATTGCATGTTTAACAGCTAAAATTTCATCGGATTCGAGGAAAAAAAATCATGAAGTCCTGTAAACAAAATCAATCCCAATATAATTCGATTGTGCCGACTTGTTGGACTACTGATGTGGTTGTATGAACTCTGTAATTTTCGATTATCGAACATAAAATCCTCGCTACCTTTTATAGAAGGGAAACTTTTGAGTTTTACTTGCGGTTTGTTATATTATGGTTTGAATACGCCGATGACAATGTATTTTGTAACTGAATTGTTATTGGACATTAGGGACATCGTTCACCATGGAGGCATCTTAGTTGAGCGCAAAGGCGGAATTCATGCGTATCTGTGTCAAAATCTGATGTAGTCGAAGCTTTAGGGGTAATTGAGACGTTATCAGGTTAAACAAACTCAAAATATCTGTATTTGACAGACTACACCGTCTTCTTCGCTCCCAGATTTTGGGGCTTAATTTGTTTCTACCCCTCTTTCCTTAAACCTAGTCATATTTGATTCAACTCGGATGGAAATATAGATAACAGCGTAATATGTGACTAACACAGTCTATAAACTGTACGATTTTACGGCAATATCTGCGTCAGTATATCAATCATAATAAATTTGTATAGAATAAAATTATTTTAACGGTGTAAAATTTACAGTTTATACCGTATTTTATGCGCTGTAAGCCGAGCCCGGCTTATATCATCGCCTGGAATAAATTAAACCATAAACGTTATTTCTTCCAGTCGGTGATATATACTGAAAAATTTTACGCGGTTAACTAACGGCGTAATTTCTTCCAGTCGGTAATATTTATACTGTACATGCAGGATTTTACGCCGTTAGATAACGGCGTAATTTCATTGAAAAGAAACGAAAATTTGCGCACGAGACCGAAGGTTTGATATAAAACTATTAGAATTCAGTTATGTGGTGTCAAGTTGTACTTTAGATGTAGTTGATCATACATAATTCAGTTTTGAATCAGCAACGAGACTTTAGATTAGCGGATATGTGAAGACTGTGAGATTGAAAAAAGATAATCGATATATAGATAAATGTAAAATTGGACACACAAACATACCTGCCAATCCCAATCTTCTTGTTGGTGATGAAATTCTAACATGAGGTGTGTTCTACGTTCTCCTTAATGAGGAGTTGGTCATCGTGAACTTGCTTACAGTGGGTTTCTGCTTCGTTGCTTTTGACAAAAGGCCTGGAGATGGCTCTTCTTTTACGCAGGCTTCTCACGGCAAAATAAGGGGGGGATGTCGTTGCAGACCGAGTGCAAAATACGAACTGAGGATAAAATGTAGAACGAAGACTGCAAACCAGGGTTAAAGTGTAGACTCGATTCTAAAACAACTCGCTTTCCCGGAAAAACTTCAAGAGTGAGCTGGGATCGAGGCCGCGTAAGTCGTGAGAGGCTGGCGATAGATGTTTTGAACTATACTTCCTCAGATGGTTTTGGCGTTGACATACTGTTTTTAAGGTAAGAACGATGAGAAACGTAAGTGTTTGGATCTGCAGTTCACAGCCAGCTAAATACATTCCCCTTATTAAGGAATAAACAGTTCTGCTGAGCAACATCTGGTAGCTTTAACATACATGCAGCTCGTGTAATCTTTGTTCGTCCTTGAACATGGGCAGAAATTTAGGACAGTCAGCGGTTCGTGACGCGGGCTCTATTTTGTACATTTCGACCCTGCTGAGTCTGCGTAGCTTGGTTGTGAAGCAGTCGGAAAGCTATCAGTGAGCGAAATGCCAAGAATTTTGTTTTACAAATCGCTGAATGATCTCAGTACCGCGGATTTTTACACACAGAGAAAGAGAAAAAAATCTAGATTCTACGAGATCGAAAGAGTCGTTTCAAAAAGAGTCAGTAAGAAAAAGGTAAGCGAATCTGCTTTGCTCCGAGTGTTTGACTGAAATGAATCTCTCTTTCATAACGAATACTCGTTAAACCTTACTCAATCATTGGTCTAGATTGAATACTTCATCAAGTGGAAGGGCTACTCGAGCCTACAAAACTCCTGGGAGCCAGAAGAGAATTTAAACGCCTTTGCTTTGAGGTGAGATATCATGTGTGATTAACAGCTTTATAATTACACAAAAAACAGGAGAAATCCGTTACATTGGTTTTCTCTGTTGATATTCTGTGCTTGTATGTAATAATTTCCTATTCAATGTAAAAATTGTAATGCTATTTTTTAAGATGAATGTTTTTTCCTTGCCCTTAGGTCATTCAACAACCCAAGGCTCACACAGCAAGAGATTGCTGATGCCAGTGAGGGTCTCCACATTGGTATTTTAGAGCAATTAAAATCGAAGTCTCAATTACCCACTGTCATTGCTTTTAACCACACTTATTTTAACTTTTTGTTTAAAGATAAGGGACGGAAAAGTAATGACAGTGGATACATCCTCCTTGAAAAAGAGGATTTTATAAGATGCCACTTTCCTAATGGGTGGCACAGGCTAATAGATAGTATAGGGGATGGGGTGCAAATTGACTTTCCTGTGAAGGTCAGATTGTTTTTGTCATGGAGTCCAAAGACTCATAGCTTGACAGGGGAGTCAATTACACCTTGCCCACGATATAGGCCAGAAAAATTGAGTATTTCTTTTTGTAAAGCAGCATGTAGCCTGACATGAGACAAATTAAAGAAACCAAGACTTGATTTGATTCTATTTGGCATTGTGTATTTATTACAAAATAGAAAATCTATATTTTTGTAGTAGTTCATCACATATTCTTATATTGAGTCAAATTTTTCATATTTACAACCTAGAAGTACTTGCGGTGTGCAGGCTGTTTTTCAATTTGTTAAGTAAGTATAAAGGACACAAGAGTAGACCTCCACTTCATTGAATGCTAGCTTTAAGAGAACATTTTTACAATCCAAAGAACAAAAAAATCAATAGTTTTGTAGTATTTGAGATTGCTATCCCAATCATTGTTGTTATTGTTCTATTTTTCAATACTGAGTTCTCTCCATTGTTCAGTGCAGTGGTGGTCACTGAAACTACCCCAGATATATATGTTACCCTCGTGGTAAACTAAGCGTTACTCAGGTTCTTCAGGATCAAATGTTGTTTTCCTTTTCTTGCTCCTTGCCTATAGGAGATCTTTTTCCCAGTATTCTGTATTTGATTTATTATATGGCCTTTTCTCCCTTTCTGATTTACGTAGTGCCCATTGTCTGGCCTCAACTTTTAGGACATCTGAGGCAGCATCCCATTTATTTGATTTATGTAATACAATGTTTCTAGCATAATCATTGTTTTTCTCCACACCCTGCCCTGTGAAAATTTTTACAGACTTGTGGGTCCTGAAGAACTTGGGGATATGGAACACCATAGCATGGATATACGGTGTTATTCGTGCACGTTCATAGCCCTTTCTTTTGTCTCTTAGAGAAATGAAAAGGTTTACCCAGCTTTTAGCCTTTTCAAAAAAATCTGTAATTTGCTTATCTGAATTTTGACCACTTCCAATAAATGTATATAGTTCCCTAAAGTCTTCCCATATTTTCTTGACAGTATTTGAAGTTGAAGTCTGAACAACACTTAAAATTTTGCCTGGGAGCTCTCTCAGGAGTTGCTTTTTGTCATTCCCAAGCAAACTTGTAAAATCATAGGTGCCTGATCCCTTTCCATCAGCATTGGTTTTTTCCCAGATATCAAAACTAACCCCACATGAGCGTACTGCAGCCTGCAGCCTCTCTCGATGAACACCTTTCTTTTCTCCCCTTTTCTTATTTAAATCATCTTTTTTGTCCCACTGTAATACATCCTCCAGTAAATTATTTAGTAACACATCAACTACTCTAAGCAAAAGGTGCAATTCGTCTAAAATTACATGATCTAACTCAATGTTTAATAGAGGCTCATGTTCACAGCAAAAATTTTCTCTGCCCTTTTTTGATAATTCTTTTAATTCTTTTAGTGTTCTTTGCAATGGTGGCTTATTGTAAAAATCTTCCTCATGGTTCATATCCCATCTTTTATCTTTGTGAACTTTGCACCATGCACAAGCATAGAAAAAGGTGGCACCTTTGAGACCCAACATGATTAAAATGAATTTATAATCTCCCCCCAAAAATAATTCAAGTTTTATTTCTTTCCCATTCATTGTGATTTTGGTCATTGAATTTAGATCATTTATGTCTGAAAAAACATTAGCAAATGACTCCTTCAGTGTTTCATAATTTTCTGAGCCCTTCACAATGGCGATTGTGTTATTTCCCCTTGCTGACATTAAATGACTGTTATTTTGCAACAAAGCAAAAGAAAGAATGATAAAGGTTGTATTGCGAGTCATCCTTGCCCCATCCCCTGATATTTTAACTTTAACAATTTCATTTTCAAAATCAAATTCTGGATTTTGGTCGATTAAATCTTGCACCCTTTCCTTGAGAAGTTCCTTGAATGAAACTTCTGCCCCCTCAGCCCTCCCAGGTGTAGATACAATATGGCACATGTCATTTAGTTGTGTTCGCCGTTGCTTGATTATATATGATTTAGGAAGATCATTATACATTGAGAACTCATGATAAAATGAGTCCCCCACACAAAATTTGTCTAATAGAAATAAAATTTTATCTACTTTTTCTTTTTCCTCTTCTGAAAGGGAGTCAAACCCTGTGGCAGTGTTTTCTTGCTGGTCATCACTGGCCATTTTTACATTATGCTTGCTTCCAGTCTGAACTTCTTTCATGGCAACTGACTCAATTTCTAGTCCAAAGGACTTGGCAAACCACAGTGCTGTCTGAGCTCTTGTCATGAAAGTCTTCAAAGTCCTCGACTTTTTCTTCACTTGAGAAATGTCTTTCCCCTTGTAGTCTTGCTGAGCTGTCTGCAGGCGTTCAATATAATCAATTAATTCTTTATTTGTGGTCTCAGCTTTTTCAAAATCATCTTGAAGTGTTCTTATTTCAGCTTGCATTTCATGAAGCATTTTTCTCTTTTCTTCCTCCAAATTTGCATAGTTTGATTTCCACTCTTCAATTTCTTCATGCAGGGAAGAGTTCAACTCCTTTAGTTGTTCATTTTCCCTCTCCAGCTCTGCTGCTGACTGAACATGTCTCTCAAACACATGGAACTTTTTTATTTTCGAGTTCAGGGCAAGGCCCTTTCTCCCCCTGATCTGCTTGTATTGAGACTTCACAGAAGAAGCTAATTTTCGCAGAGATTCATTCAACTCTTCTCTCACTTCTTCCGATTTTCTGATAGAAAACAGATTGCTAGGAATAATAAGTTCAAACAAGTCTATGTAAGTTTTATATTTTTTCCTCATACGTTTCTGAAATACTTCCAGCGTGATCGGACCTTGCGTCAGTTCACCATCCACGTGTTCTTCTTCCTCTGTCCCTTCATTTTCTGGTTTATCAAGGAATTCATTCCAAGCTTTAAGCATAGGGAAAGGTATGTCAAAGGTAAATGCAACATTTTCCGCCATGGACTGTGAGACATATTTCAGTGAAGGAGGTTGTGGTGCCAATTTCGTATTAAATATATAGTTGGGAGGAGGTGCGTCCGACATTGTAAATGTTTCAAGTGATTACGAAACTGGAGAGGTAAGATTTTATATTATTTTATTGCAAAATAACAGATTGAGACCGGAAAGAAATGAGAAACTTGCGTCACGTTTATGCCTAAATTGGAAGTCACGCAACCATGTCACGGAATGGATAGCGTTACGGCAAAGCACGGTTATTTTTTAATATCACCCTTGAACCAATCAGTTTTCTTTATTTATATCATCTGACCTATGTAAACAAGCTAAGATACCAAGCCTTTGAAAGTAAAAATGGCGTCGGAAACCATTTGTTCGGGAAGAACCGTCGATCCAACTTCTGCGACATCCTTTCTGCGTGACTAAAGGCGAAAGTTCTGTTCGCGATGAATACTGCAAATCTTCAACTTTACGGGGATCAAAGAGAATGCCACATTCATCCAAAAAAGCGGCACAAAATGAGAGATAAGAGACCCCTGTTCGCAGCGCGATGCTCGCAACCTACCAATATTGTCTTCTTTCGCGGATGTGCCGGGTCGAAGTTTGGCTATTTCAGCCAATTTACTGTGTTTGTATGGAAGTGCAATATGACTCTTATATGGGATTTGCGTAATTTGTTTGGGATCAAAGACGAAACGAGTGTGAACCTCGAAATTTCGTCCAAAGCAGCAACTCACTAACACGATAGCACACCGATGCTCGCAAGTACGATAATTATTTTAATTTTTTTAAAATTTTTTAATATTAGAACTTTGCCATACAAATCCTTAGAAGCTTCGGACATTTTTAAAGGGCATTAGGAAAACTCTGCGCATGCTTGGCCGCCATGATGTCCTTCATTTCTGCCCATGAGTAGTGGCGATAGACTTTCATCACTCTATCGGTTACAAGTAAAACACAAGACTGTTGAATTTAATTCTTTCATTGGCTAAGTAGAAAAACATTCGCAAAAACGCGATTGACATACAAATATTAGTGGCTAAATAGGAATCTTTAATCGCAAATGCGACCACGTCAGTCGCAATGGCAATGGGACTGACTGTAGGGAGTTAGAACGGGCGACGAGCGGGGAAGGAAAAAAAGCGAAATACGAGTGGTCAGCGGAAAAACAACTGTAATAAGTCATATAGAAACAGATCAGTTGTAGTTGCAGAAAACAATCGTGTTGCAAAGTCGAAATGTTGACAGTATACTTCGTCAAATAAAATGTGAGGCAATTTTTCAAAAGTGTTGATTTTACATATATCTTTTACTGCTGTAAAAATTAATGGAGGCATCGGAAAAGGTATCGGTGGCATCTGGAATGGCAAGTTTCAAAACGTAAATATAATTCTTCATGGTGCTGTGTGACGTGTGTGACGTGCGTGACGTGCGTGACGAAAAATAAAACTAAAACCGTGGCCCCCAAATAATTTTCCCACCTTGCCTCAAAAAATGTTCCCACCTTGCCCAAAAAAATTTTTTTTTGCAACCAGACGTTGTTTTGATGCTACTCTGGTTTACAGATTTAATGAATGTAACCGAAAAAGTTACAATTCATAGACAAACGTTTCGACACTCCTGTCTGGTGCCTTCGTCAGAGGTGATCTAAACGCTGCAATAAGAGGTCCTTTTATTTAGCTGCCTTTTTTCTGACAAGGTGTAAATAGGTGTCAGGAAGTAAGCTGCCATTGTCACGATTTAAAGGAGCGTGGGTGGAGTTAATGTGCCAAGCCTCCAAACAAAGGTGCTGGTGGTAACAATGATTAATGGTGATAATTTTCAAATTATCCCACCCAATTGTATGGTTAGTTAGGCATGTGTGCTCTGATAAAGCTGAATTTTCCATTTTGGAAAAGAAAACCACTTTTTGATGCTCTTTTAAATGTGTACCAAACTGACATTTGGTCTGTCTGATGTATTCGTTGTCACAGTCATAGGAGTCTTACTAATATGCGAGCCAGCGAGTCATGCGAGTCACGATGCGAGCCATGCGAGTCATGCGAGTCACGATGCGAGCCATGCGAGTCATGCGAGCCACGGTTTTAACGTAAGAAAAAACATGCGAGCCATGCGAGCCAAGGTGCGAGCCACGGTTTTTACGTAAGAAAAACCATGCGAGTCATGCGAGCCGCAATTTAAACGTAAGAAAAAATTACATAACGCTGTATATTAAATGATACATGACGCGAGTGACACCACAGGCGGCCCAAGCTCCAGCTGCGAGATGATCATCTTACGCAATAACGGTCATGGCGGAATTATAAGAGTTTGTATGGGCATATTTACGACTGCCCTCAGGAATAAAAAAATACGTCAAATTCTCAAAAAAAATACCTCACCTCGCTTCCACAGCGTATTGCTTGTTATCTGACCGCTTACTTTGATGAAAAGAGCCCATTTGAGCGAGTTGTTCATTTCGAGGTTTTCAACGCACATAAGAAAAGCCCAAGGCTGAACACTCCATTTCCAAACGCCTGATCCGAGAAGCGAAAAATCCAAGCTCAAAATGACCGGGCGGTCACAAATCCAACACAGAATCCAAGCACACATACTGTAGTTTCATTTCAATTCACTACAAACTCAATCTTCCCCGTGCAACCGACGCTAAGCCGCGGTTTGCTTCAAAAATTTCCAGTTTAGAGGTTTCTAACAGCCCGCGACCACATCAACCTTGACACACGACCGTTGAAACCCTACCTCCTTTTCAAACTGAGCCTCGCCGGGGACCACACCGTCAGTTATTATCAATAAATTGTTTTAGAACCACGGGTCCCCTCCGGTCGAAATCGATCGAGAGGCTATTGTTTTATCCTAAAGTAAATGAAATAAGTATCTACAAGGGCACTTGGCAAGAAACACATAGACGAAGTGCGAAATTTAGCGTAGCCGGCAACTAAGAATAAAGTGAATACTTACATGGCTGAGCGACTTGTTCTATTGTGACTCACATTCTCTTGCGGACGAAGCGAAATAACAGTTGTCTTGTTGGCAGAATTAAAATAGGTATGTCCAGATAGAACTAAATTGAATACTGGTATAAATCCTTGCCAGGTTTTCCTCTGACTACGAAAATAATCACACATTTGTAAACATTTCCGAAGGCGAATTCGATTGGCCGATCGAAACAATAGCCTCTTGATCGATTTCGACCAGAGGGGACCCGTGGTTCTAAAACAATTTATTGATAATAACTGACGGTGTGGTCCCCGGCGAGGCTCAGTTTGAAAAGGAGGTAGGGTTTCAACGGTCGTGTGTCAAGGTTGATGTGGTCGCGGGCTGTTAGAAACCTCTAAACTGGAAATTTTTGAAGCAAACTGCGGCTTAGCGTCGGTTGCACGGGGAAGATTGAGTTTGTAGTGAATTGAAATGAAACTACAGTATATGTGCTTGGATT